AGCAAGTGTCTATTGAAGAGATCCTAGAAGAACAGAGAGTAGAACAGTAGACCAGACTGGAGGCAGAGAAGCTGAAGGTTCAGACCCTTAAAGATCGGGGTCTCTCTATTCCTTGAGCAGACACTCTGGATGAGTACTGAGTCCTTGCTCAGAGACTGCGTTAGAAAGCAGGTGCTGTCACCTGGTCACCTCACACATTTGACCAGAGTATCACATTGAAAAGAGATCTTACTTATGGATGACCTAGAACTCACTATGCAAACCAGGATGACCTCTAGTTTGTGGGATTGAGTGGGCTCCACCAACCCAGTTTTACTATTTAAAGAAACAGTGGCATGACCTCCCTTCACATAAGTCACTGTAAAGCCAAAAATCATGTCTTTATATTGCTTTTATCTCAGAGTCTAATTTCTTTTCAAAAAATATTTCATTTACTTGTAAATAAAAAATGAAACTCAGAACTGTCAAAAAAAAAAAATGTGAAGTTCAGGTAAGTCACGAGACCAGTGAAGAGTTGACCAGCTAGCTTATGCAAGCGTCCCATCATGCCAAGTCCTTACACTCTCCCCAAACATTACATGTCCTCTCATGGGTCTTGCCTCAACAAAACATGTGAGTCTGTATCACATGACACAAACAGAAAATTTTACTCCAGGAGTCATTTGTTCCCCAACCATTTCTGTGTCATGTGGCTTTTGTCCTTTGTACCACCTCGCCAGCGCCCTTATTCTCATAATTTCCGATACTGAAGTACTCATATTTTCTCAGGCTTTCTCCTTACCTTTAGAGGTTCCTTATCTGGAGCTGAGCATGCCACATTTGGGATAGAAACCAAGAACAAACGTCCTTTCTACTGTTCTGCTTCCTAAAGCTTTCCTGTTTTCTTTGCAGATACTTTAGTGTCTGCCTACCTCAGGTAACTCATTACTCCCTTGAGATTCCTGTACTTTCCCGGATGTCTTCAAGCATTTTTTCAGAAAAGCAGCTTTTAAGGTTGTGAAACTTCAGTGAACTAACTGCATGTGGAGCAATGCCTAGTCCCAACTAGTGCTGCTCTCTGTGATGGCTATTCCTGGTTGTCAACTTGACTATATCTGGAATAAACTACAACCCAGAAATGGAAGGCACACTTGTGATCCAGATCTTGAGGCTGAAAGACACAGGCTTCTGACTGGGATCTTGATATGGGATGACACACGCTTTTGATCCAGATCTTGAGGCAGAGTGGCCAGGAAAAGTTTAGGCCCAGGCAAGGTGGTACATACCTTCAATCCCAGGAGACTGAGGTAAGCAGATCTCTGAGTTCAAAGCCAGCCTGGAACAGAGCTAAATCCAGGCATGGTGGTACACAACTTTAATCTTGGCTATATCTTCTGCTGGAGGCCTACTAGATTCTTGGACTTCCCATTCAGTTGCCAATTCCTGGGTTAGTTGGACTGTAAACTGTAAGTCATTATAATAAATCCCTCTAATATATAGACATTCCATAAGTTCTGTGACTCTACAGAACCCAAATACACTGTTTAAACCATGTCAGGTTTGGCACACGGTAAGTATTAAATTAACTTGCTTAGCCTATGTGGACAGTCTTCATATAAGAGAGAAGGTCCTTAGATTCTTAACTACAAGGTGTGCCCTGAGTGGACAAATCATCAAAATGGCAGTTTTTTGGTTTGGAGGTTAGGCACTCATAACACAGGATCACATCACTCAAGAACCAAGTTGTGTTTATTCAAAGGGAATCCAGGGCCTCTTCAGCTCCCTATGTGTATACAGTGGAACAGGTTCTGTGCAGCCGAAGACCTTTTCTATACTACTAAAGGCCATTTCTTTGGAAAAAATTAAAACCCTCTATCTTTTCGTTTTGCTTTATATTATTTGGGTTTTATTTTTCCTTGTTTTGAGGCAGAGTCTCACTATATAGCCCAGGAAGTGCTGGAACACCCTATGTGACTCAGGCTAACATCGGACAAGTAGATCCACAAGGGCTGAGATACAGACCCAGGGACCACTCTAGACTGCCACATGCTCCCTTACCTCATAATCTATAACCCAAACCCTAGGGACGTTAAGACTTGTTACTTGGGACTCCCATGACCTCACAATCCCAACATGGTTAAACTCTTTAGAAAATCCTTATCGAAATTGTGACATTCTGCAGTGGTCAAGATACCTGAGATGAACCAATCTGAAATAGTAAAAACTAGCTCTGAATGCTTTTACCCCCCAACTGGTATGTTTTGGTGCTATGGGCTTCTAGCAGCATAGTATAAGTTATAGTCCAAGCAAGAAAGTTCCAGACCACTAGTATAGAGAACAGGCTCTTGTCACAAAGAACTCTTGCCCCAAAGCTCATGGACGCAGCATTTATAAAAGCAAAAGCTATGACATTAGTCACAGAAAATCCTGAATGTGCTGCCACACTCAGTGGTAGGAGGTTGGGGATGGCTGAAAGAGCACTCTGACAAAACAGAGTAAGATCAATGACAGGACAGCAAAGCGACCCGAGATTGAGTTCAAGATGCCATTTTCCCCATCTGGGTACTACTACTGGGTACTCCCACATAGGTAAATTTCTTTTTTTTTTCTTTTTAAATATTTATTTTATATATGTGAATATACTGTTGCTGTCTTCATGTACACCAGAAGAGGGCATCAGATCCCATTACAGATGGTTGTGAGCCACCATGTGGTTGCTGGGAACTGATCTCTTAAACATTGAATCATCTCTTCAACCCCTAGGTAAATTTCTCATCCTTAAGTTGGAAGAGTAGGACTTCAAGAGATCTTGTACAAGAGGACATAGGCCAGTCATGAAAAACTTGAACATTCCCAACTAAGATGTCAACAGCACTTCCAAGTGCTAATTTATGAAGCCTTCCAGCCTCTACCCCTCTTATTAGTATTAGCAAACTCTCAATCTTTATTTCTATAAAATGTGGATGTCAAAAGATCCTATTGAGTTGGGAACACCACATAAGAACACATTAGTGTCAAGCAGTCTACAGAGTATGTTTGAAAGGTGTTATTTGAAGAAACGTTGTAACTTATTTACTGCCCAGTAACTGACTTCTGTTCAACTTGTACTGCAGCAAATTCAACCTATATTTTATGTCCAGGCCACCAGAAATAAATGCACTTAGACCCAATGTCCAGTTGTCAAGCAAATCTGATAAGGCAGATGGTATTTTCATTTGGCATATGACAAGTTCAGCATCAGGCTCCAGTGTTCAGACTCACTATTTAAGGCTTTCTGGCATTTACTTCAAATTCTCCAATCGCCCTCATCATCCACTTCTACTGATCCCAGTTTGGTTTTCTCTGTGTTGGTCTCTCTCTGGGATCCAGCACTGTGCCATTCTGCTCAGTACCTATAAACCTCTGTCAAGTCCTCACAAAAAAGGAGACATGTTGACCTTTGTAACTGTAACTCTGATTTTATTCAGTTGTATTTTTCCAACTGTGTGTGTGGAGGGGAGATAGACACCCACAGGGTCAGAGTCCAACTGTGAGGAATTAGTTCTTCCTTTCCACCACATGAGCCCCCAGGATCCAGATCAGACTGTGAGGCTCGGTGGCAAGTGGCTTTACCTACTCAATCAATCATCTTGCCAGCCTATTGTTACTATCATTTGTTTTATAAAAATATGTTTAATTTTTAAAAAGTATGGAGGTGGAGGGTATGTTATATGCATTTGAGCACAGGTGCCCATGGAAGCCAGAAGTGCAGGATCCCCTGTAGCTAGTTTTGAGCTGCCCATGTGGGTGTTGGGACTCAAAGTTGGTCCTCTGAAATAGCAATATGTACTCTTAATTACTAAGCCATTTATCTCTCCAGCTCCATCATTCTTAAATTCCTAAATGGACTTTGCAGAAGGAGAACTTCTTAAAAACTTAAGAAGAAAATGAAATAACCAGACCTGTTTATACAATAACAGCAATACTTAAATGGTTAGATGAAATAATCATGACACAACATAAAATGTCTCATAAAACATCAGCTTAGAAATTCACTAAAGACACAATCTGAGACAATATGGACATTCAACCATGATAATGAATAAAACACTGAAAAAAACTATCCCCTGAATCTGGTAAGGGTAGGACACATATATGAGAGATGAAATTATCTTCCCCCACATAGGTGTGAATTAAAAAGGAAAAGAGTAACTCCGTAGTAAGAAGCCTGTTAGAACCACTTGAACCAAGTGATTCAGTGATAGTCCTAAGTAACGAGTTGCATTACCACCTGAGAGGATGCAGAGAGCAGCTTTACCACTATATCTTCATAGAGATAAAATTAAGCCAATCCAATTACTGACCCAAGAAGTTCAAACAAGCTGGAAATGGGGCACACTCCTTTAATCTCACCACTCGGGAAGCAGAGGCATGCAGAAGTTTGGGAGCCTGAGGCCAGTCTACTCTACACATAAGTTCCAGGCCAGCCAGAAGTACATACTAACTATCCCCAAACAAACCCAAACAAAACCCAACAACAAAAACTTGTAGAAACTCTAAGGAAGACTCAACACACTGGAATAGCTAACTCAGACCAGACCCCTTTACTATAAATGACATCATATAAGCTGAGAAAGACTGACTGGAGCTAGAGAGTTAAATAGTGGCAATATGTTTTTGATGGTTAGTTATGTAGAAAAATATCTTGTTTACAGAAAACTGATATGAATGTGTATCTGAGGTGATGGGGATGTGAGGTGATCAACTCTCAAGAAGACTGTTTTTTGAAACTTTTATGCATGATCAAGAGAGTTCAAAATAAAATTTTATTTGAATAAGGCTTTATCAGTTCTTTTCTCTTTCTTAAAAAAGGAGGGAGTTTTTCCACAAAGCTGGTCAGATGGGAAACACCATTTTCTTCAATTGGTCCTCATTTGAAAATAAAATGCTTACAATAAGATCATCTGTGTCACCGGGCAGTGGTGGCACATGCCTTTAATCCCAGCACTTGGGAAACAGAGGCAGGCGGATTTCTGAGTTTGAAGCCAGCCTGGTCTACAGAATGAGTTCCAGGACAGCCAGGGCTACACAGAGAAACCCTGTCTCGAAAAAACAAAAAACAAAACAAACAAAAAAAACCATCTGTGTCAAGCTGAAAGAAGACCCTTCAAAGTGAATGTGATTCGTGTTGAGTTCCACGCACCAGACACCTCCATGCCAGGTACTGCAAACATCACTGACTGAGGGACCTCTGCAGAGCTTCATACATCATTTGATCCTGTGAGGACAAAAATTGTCACATTGTGCTAATCAATCAGTTATGCGGTAGAAGGTATAACCTGCAAATTCCTACACTGAAGCCCCAACCCCTAGGTGGGTTGCTTTGGAGACAGGGCTTCTGCAGAGGTGACTGGGGTTGCTGTGCAAGAGGAAGTTTGGACACTGAGTGCATAACTAGAAGGACATGTGAAAATGAGACAGAGAAGACACCTGCAGGGACAGAGACCACAGAACTCTGACAAGCCAGTATCTTGATCTTAGACGTGTGTCTCTGTTGTTAAAGGTACCTGTCTATGGCTCTCTGCTACAGCAGCTCTAACTGCTGGACCCAGAGATTCTGCCTTGCTACGACCGTACCTAGAGTCTGTACAAGTTCCTTTCTAGGGTGCGCCATGATTTCCATCGTTGTCTAGGGAAGTTTGCACGCAGGTCAAGAGGTATTTATACTTGTGAACTATCCTGAGACCTGATGGAAACAGGAGACTAAAGAAAAGCCCTCTCAAGTGTCTAAACATTCTGAAAAACTGCCAAGATGGCTCCCACATGACTGTTCCACTCTGTACAGCACAACGTATGAGACTTGGAGCATCTCACATCCTCACCTCCCTTGCTGTGGTCAGTCTTTCAAAGTTCTGTCAATGTAGCACCTATGTAGTAGAAGCTCACTGACGCCACATGAACCTTTTCAGTGTCACGTGGCCATTCTACTCTTACCCATTTATCCCAAAGAAAATACAATGTGTTCTGCTTTATTTCCAGCTATTTAGAATCTATCTTAGGGCCAAAAGTTCAATCCTTACCCTCTACATAATAGAGAGAGAACTCTCACAAGTTATCTTCTGATTTATGCTTACATGTATGCTTACAGCTATGGCACACTTATGCTCCCCACCACACACAAGTAATAAATAAAAGTGACATTTATTTTTAAAAGCCAATTATGCTAGGTGTGGTGGCTCATGCCTACAATATAAAACAATTCCTATGCTTTTTATTTAATAATATATTTGAGAAATGTCTTTCATTTTTTGAGTAGCTATATCATTTCATTACATAAACATTTAAAGTTTTGGCCTATTATATATGCCAGTGAAGAGGAGTATTATAGCATATAGCTATAATCCTGAAACTTAGAAGGCTGAAGCAGGAGTCTCAGGAGTTTGAGGCTAGCTTAGGCTATACAAAGAAACTGTCTTTCAATAAAAAATAAACAAAAGAAAATAAAAAGATAAAATTTCTGAGTTCTTTAGAACTGATGTCATTTCCCACCTCTTTTCTAGACACCAAGGAATGTTTCTCACCTTTATTGATATGGATGGTTTGACTTTCCTGAAAGCTTCTTCAAAGTGCTTATGACTGACCTTAAGATCACCTGTGGAGGAAATGCAAAAATATACATCTCGGTATAGTAACACAAGAAAACAAAACTGTGAGGGGTGATCAGAGGGAATCTATTCAAGCACATGTACATATGCCCCTCTCCAGTTTGGCCTCATTGAGAATCTCTCCATTTCATTTGAGGAAACAGGACTGCTGGTAGTCAGTCTGTCTCTCAGGAATGCTGGGATGGAAGAAAACCAGTTGAAGTTGAGCTGTGCATGCTGTTCACACTGTCACAAATGACCAATGTGATCTCAGGTAGAAATAACTTAAGAGATTATAAGAAGAGATGATCAACAGAACTAGAAGTAACTAAGAACCAGTATTACCACCCAAGGGTATGCTCTTAAATACAAATTTACACCACTGAGTGACAAAGGCTAGAAGTCCTCAAAGACAAAACCACTAAGGGTACATATGCATATCACAAAACTGGATTAGATGGAGTTAATTTTTATAAGGCTAGTTGGTAAAATAGCTAAATGCTAAAATATAACTTGGTTTACAATGTTAATGTGATAACTTAAGTGATGACAATTTATACTCAAAATAGTAAATAGATATTAGGATAATATATTTACCTAAAATAAAATAATACATGTTGCAGAACATGTCACTGAGTAATTGGAGAACAGAGATGCCTATGCTTTGGGTAAGGTATTAGCGCAAAGTCTCTAAAGGCCAGAGAGCTAAAAATGACAGCCACGGCAAAACAGAGATGCCAGCATTTGTTATATGCATATACAAAAAATAACCAGGTAAATAAGTAGCAACTCCAATATATGGGAAAGACCTCTTATTTTTTAGTCACCAAACATACTCTAAGATAGTGGTGAGACTCAGCTTACAAAGTGGCATACACGACTTTGCATTTGATTGTCACGGAGGTCGGGGTAAGGAGGATATGACAGACACCCATTATGTGACTCAACAACTGAAGACCGGTCTGGTTTGGTTTCTTGAGCACGGGCTGGGATTACAAGTACACAAGCAAACGCGGCTCTCGTTTTTTGTTAATACAATGTTCTAAGTTTGCTTATTATCATTAATTTCTGAAAGGAACAGAATACAACTTATAAAAAAACTTTCTAGTAAATGTATGCATGTGTGCCAATACATCTATGCTAATCCAATGTTATTGTAACAATATTTAGCTTTGAGATTCACAGAAGTGGAGCTGTCTAGACGGCGCGGTGTTAAGAACGCATCCTGCTCTTGCAGAGGATCGGAGGTCAGTCTCCAGTGTCCATGTCAGGTGGTTCAGAACCACCTGTAACTCCAGCCCCCGTGGATCGTCGTAATGCCTTGTGATCTCTGAAGGCATCTGTATTCACGTGCACATTTCTCTCCACCTAACCCACCACAAACACACCCACATACACATCATTAAAAGGAGACCAGCGTGCATTTGAAGTTCAAAACAAGGGCACATCTGTACCATACACAGCACCTCAGAGACACTTAAGCAAGTAAAGGAATATAGGTCATGAATTAATCTTTTCTGGCCACACAATATCCAAATACTAACACCAAAAATACTGTCGAAATGCAAGGTAAACAGGAAACATATAGGAAAGGCCCCATATCATCCATAAAGGAAATACATGGATTTTTGTCTTTGACTTTCTGGTGCTGGGGAAAGAGTCCTGAGCCTTGCATATGATAAGAAAATGCTCTACCGGTGACCAGTACATATTGCCATCTGATTTTATATTTCAAAGGGAAAAAAATCTTGATATATAAAAAACTGTGTATTTCTTAAATCTTCTGAAATCTTCAAATCTTCAAAAGCTTCAAAACAAAGTCTCATCCTCATTATACAATGTTCTAAAGAAGGCTAGAGAACACTACTTAAAAGCAGCGTTTTAAAATATCCAAAATGATAAACTAGAATGTAGAAATCCTAGAGAACCTCCTACCTGTTGCAATTCCATTCTTCTGTCCTGTTATTTCTTGTCTCAGGGCACAGAGAGAAGCTTCTCGTACCAAAGCAGAAAGGTCTGCACCCCTAAAATAAAAGAAGTGTTCTTATGTATTCCTAGGTATTCTAAAAGCCAAGAAAGGTGTTTACTTACAATACACTTAACAATAAAGAAAAACAGCAAAGAATGAAGGTGGAACCAGGAGTGGTAGGAGCAGCTTATAGCTTTCACTTAAAGAATTATCAACCTTTAGAAGAAAGGGACTTCCATAAGGTGTGATACAATGAAAAATAAAATGTCCTTCCTCTTAGCCATAGATACTAACGTTGATATAAAACATCTAGTCAGATGCTGGAGTATGATGACCTAAATTCAACTCCTAGAAACCACATTAATAGAGGAGGAAAAGGAGGGGGTAGGAAAAGGCAGAAGAAGAAGAAAAGGAGGAGGAGGAAGAGGAAAAAAAGAAGGAAGAGGAAGAAAGGGGAAAAAGAAAGAACAACCCAGTCCAAGTTACAGGCAGGCAGATCCCTAGAGTTCACTGATGGGTGAGCCAGCCTAGTCTAATAGACAAGAGGTTCAGGATTTAAAACAACAAAACAAAAAAATGTAAAACCATCGTCTCAAAACTCAAGGAGCTTCTGAGGAACAATACCTAAGTACCTAAGGTAGTCTATACTAACCTCTTTAGGTACCTACAAACGCCTGCATGAATAAGCACGTGTGCACGCACACGCATACACACACACACTCCAAGTAGTAGACACTTTACACATACAAAGCTGAGTGAACAGACACAAATACACGCCCAAGCTTAGTCTGTGTAATTATTCCAAGTAACAACAGTAGGCTGAGTCAGCACAGCCCAAGGATGTAATGAAATATCTGTGTTGACTGGCCTTTTCTATACTGCAGCTTTAACATGATCTGCAAAGATTCTCTAAGAAATAGTTTGAATTCTGGAACTAAAGCCTCAGTTTCAGATATCAAATAATCAAGTGCCTGTGTTACTAACTCAAGAACAGCTCTCAGAAGCAAGCTTACAGTGCTGAGCAACAGCCCTGAAGCCCTTAACGATGAAAGTTCTCACTCACCTTACTTTCTTGTGGAAGTCCTCGTATTATCTGGCCTCAGTTTATAGGCTTATACCAAGCACCAGAGGTATTAGGGACGAACAATACGGCTTTTAAAATTAGAGTGGCTGGGGCATCTCAGCTAAACTACAAAAATAAACATTAAAACTCAAGGCAGAACTATCAGGTGTCCTGTTTTGGTTGCAGGCTGTCAATGCCACATTAATGCAGGGAGCACATAGCCTTGCAGATGTAACTAAGGGATTTTGATATCCAGTGAGAAACACATGCACACTTTATAGTCTGAAAAAAGAACTTACAGCAAAGTTTAACAGCCTGGTTAGGGAAGCTTGGGTGACAAAAGGGACAATCTATGCCAGAAATTCAGCCTCCAAATCAGCAAGCAAGCTGTCTGAGAAGAAAGCAGCAAGAACAAGCCAGGCACTGGGTACACAGGAAACATCATTAGCTTTTCCAACAATCTGAGAAATGGGCTTCTTTCCCTTTCCTGCTGATGAAGAAATTATACTCCAGAGGTTTCAGACAGCAGAGACTTAAATACTCACGTATAGCAATTACAACGAAGGTCATTAGCAATTGTTTCCAAATTTACATCTTCATCCAGTGGAGGTTTGGTGCCATTCTGAATAAGAGAGAAGTATGAGATTTATTTGAGGCATTAAAGACTTATATATGCCGGGCAGTGATGGCACACGCCTTTAATCCCAGCACCTGGGAGGCAGAGGCAGGCGGATTTTTGAGTTCAAGGCCAGCCTGGTCTACAGAGTGAGTTCCAGGACAGCCAGGGCTACACAGAGAAACCCTGTCTCGAAAAACCTTTAAAAAAAAAAAAAAAAAAAAAGACTTCTATGTATCTGTGTCACTGGTTCTTAATGAAAAAGAATGGCTGATGACTAAGGTATTAGAACGAACTCCAAAAGCAATGTAGAATGCTATGGGATTCAATCTGGAATATCAGGGTAAGAGCAGACTTAAGTGTGAGAAACTTTAAAAGCAAACCATTGACACTCATGAAATTGGAGGAATTTGTGTCATGAAACTGACTGAAGAAAAATAGTATTGAACCCAGCTTGTGGAGCATGAAAGGAGTCTGCTCTACACTGGACTCAGGATGTTGTTTTTAAATCTCTCATCTAAAACCCAAAATTGACATTGGAACCAATTCCTTCCAGCTCATAATTACAGATGCTAAAAACGATAAGGCTCAGAAAAGCCTCAGAACTTCAACACTGACCGTAAGCACTACGTACAGGAACCATGCTTACTAATATTCTAAGTAGATTACATGGCAGAAGGAAACACTACACAGTTTTTAAAAAGTATTTTTACAGAGGCTAGTTAGTGCTTAAGAGCCCTGGCTGCTTTTCTAAGAGAACTAGGGTCAGATTTCTAGTACCCACATGGTGGTTCACAACCATCTATCACTCTAATTCTGGGAGATCTGACACTCTCTTCTGGCCTCCATAGGTACAAAATATGTAGTTAATTCATAAACATGAATCTTTAAAATCCAAAAAATAAAATTTTACAGTTAAAACTATGTGCATATATGGGTACATCTATGCCACAGAATGCAAGAGGAGGCTGGAGAAAATTTCCAGTTGATTCTCTCCTTCCAACATGTAGGTTCTGAGGACTGAACTCAAGGTCTTCAGGCTTAGAGCCAGGTGGCTATAGTGCAATTTCTACAACGATCGTGGAGGGATTGCACAACATAGGAAAAATTAGTTCCAGCTAACCTATCATTGAAGCATAAAGACAATAAGCAAGAATTCTTAAATTGAAAATAACTCAGGAATAAAGTTGAATAAACTACCAAGGAATAGAATGAATCCAATAATGGCATAGTTACAGATCAAACAAAATAAACTATAAAATGTATTTGGGAGGAAAAAACAAAAACCTGGCAAAGGTGCTTCTTTGAGTACTATACCTACTGAGACACACTCTGAAAACTGACTACTGAACAGAATGCCAGTGTGATAAAACTGGACAAAGATATACAAGGAACAAACACCGGGCAGTGGAAGGAGAGAAATACAAAAACACTAATTATTTCATTAACTAAATGTAAGTGTCCAAAATGAAGTATGGCTGGTGTGACGGCTCACATGTATAACCCCTGAACTTAGAGAGCAGAAGCAGGGCTGTGACAACTTACAGCTGGATTACACAGTGACACCTTTTCAGGATGGCTTTAAAAACTCATGACTTCTACCAGCAAGTTCCAAGTCAGTACAGGCTATAGTGAGACTTTATCTTAATAACAGTAACAATAACAACAACAAATAACAACAAAGTTAACTATGCTAACTCAGAAAACAGAATTTATTATGAAGATGTCAAATCTCGATGTGTTTCTGAATGTTCCTGATGTATCTGTATTTACTTTCCTTGTATTCCAAAGCTTCATTCTCTATTTCAGACAGGATGATCTAATGGTCAAATATTTAAAGACATGGAGAACAGGACTACAAGGACGTCTGATAACACTTGTTGAATACTAAGTCCAATCCTTCATTTAATTTACCTTCATTGTGAGTAAGAGAAAAGAAGAATGGTCTATGTGTTTAGTGAACATTTTGGGAGATGGAGGCCTTTAAGCTCTAGGATGGGACATTTAAGCTCTAGGAAAAGAACAATCAGCTAACCTAAATTACTACCTGGATAACTTTAAGAGTCATATGAGCAGGGCTGGAGGGATGGCTCAGTGGTTAGGTGCACTTTCTGCTCTTGCAGAAGACCTGGGTTAGGTCCTCAGTGCTCACATGAGGATGCTCACATCTTCAAGCCACTCAAGTCTAGAGGATCTGATGATCCCTTCTCACCTTATTGGGCAACTACATACATGTAGCTCACATAATTCATACGGGCACACATACACACATACATAAAACAAAATAAAAACATTTTAAAACAATATAAGCATACACAAAAAAGCCACTTCTTTTACTCACTTTTGTAATGGTCTTTAATATGGCAACACGGTCTGCTGGGGGTGGCAAACCCACAAAGAGTGTTTTGTCTAGCCGGCCTGGACGCAGAATGGCAGGGTCAATGATATCTAGAGAAGAGAGAAAAACAGATATAAATTAAACAGAATGCTTTTATTTTTAATGTAATTAGTCAAAGACAGGAAAAATTCTTTTTGAAAACAAAACAAAACAAAAAAAACCAACAAAAACCAAACTAAAAATTGTGGTCAGCTGGGCATTATTTACATTATTGAAGTAAAATGCTCTGGGGCTAGGAACGTGGTTTAGTTGGTAAAGTGTTTACAGTGAAGGCATTAGGACAAAGTTCAAATCCCCAGAAGTCACAGAAAAAGGAAAGTATGGCAGCAAGTGCCTATTAGATCAGCACTGGAAAGGCAGAGATAAGATTCCTAGGGCTTGCTTGTCAGCCAGTCTAGCTACAGTGAATTCCTGGTTCAGTGAAGAATCCTGTGTCAAAAAACAAGGTGAAGATTGAGGAAGATGCCTGATGACCTCCACATACAAGCATGCACATCCACAGACAGATTCCATGCACACACCCCTCTTACACAAAATCTATCCATGTGACAATGAAACTCTAACGAGCTCTACAACTGTTCTTCTTCCAGAACTCTCAATCTGAGGTAATATGTCCTGCCTCAACTATGTTTTTTCTCAGTGGTGTCTTTCCTGTCCTCTCTAGTCTTTATTGTCTTTTGATATAAATCTGCTATCATTTCATTGTCACAGTGCAGATACATACATACAGGCAAAAACTAACACAATAAAACCACACAAATGTGTGTGTTGGGAGTTGTAGCTCAGTTATTGTTAGAGTACTTATTTAGTATGTTTGAGACCCTGGGTTCAACTCCAAGCACTGCAAAAAAAATTTTTAGCTAAAAAAATAAAAATAAACCAGGCAGAAAATTATTATAGACATCAGAACAAGTCACTTCATATAATGAAACAAGAATAGCCAAATAGACATGAGTACAACTGAAAAAGATCCAGACTATCTGTAAATACATGTAGTAAACTGACACAGCAGGTTAAGTTATAAGAGAAAAAGGAATGAGTGAGATTCAATAGAGCAGAAGATAAAACACAAATGCATAAGGTAAACTAAGGTTCATTGTTACTCAACACAGACCTAACTTATTACAGAATGTTAAACAGAATCCTATGTTTTACAACTAAGAACAAAAAACTGGAGAATACTATTCCTCTCTACTGGCCTGACCCCTACCCCCACTGCAAAATGCGCTGCTTTGTCTATAGGAAACAAAACAAAAAACAAACAAAAAACTGTGAAGAATAAAGAACTTTAAGATGACTGATACACACAAGGGTAAGAAATCTCTCGGGAAGGATAAATGGGTATAAATGAAGTGGTGTATGAAATGGGTATAAATCATGGGTGGGCAGACTCTATAGTAATTTTCTCCAAATGAAAACATACACCAGCTAGACAACTGAGAAACTCATTCAAGGAGCCAAGTGAGGACTCCATCTCTGTAATCACAGTACTTAGAGGCTGAGGCAGAAATATGTACATACCAGGTCTTTAAGAACTATTATGTGATATCCTATTTCAAAAACAGAAAACAAACCAAACCCACAACATGTTCACATATTGTAAGGACAGGGCTGGGGAGATGAGTCAATGGTTAAAAGCACGTGATTCTCTTTCAAAGTACTTGAGTGTGTATCCCAATATCCATGTTAGGTGATCACAAGTGCCTACTCCTTTGGCTCCTGAGAATTTGATGTCTCTTGGCTAGTAGACTAAGAAAGTCCAGGTTGCAGGGAGGGCAAAGGATTCAAAATATAAACAAAAACTAGAGTGAACTAGAAAAGCCAACTTTTGAAGTCTGTATCTTTCTATCCAAATCCATCATAGAATGCTTAAGCTTGAAAACAATTTTTAAATCATAGTTTAGGCCAATAATGGGGCACGGTGTCAGTATAAATTTTTAAAATTTTATCTTAAAATTTCAGGAAATAATATTCTTGATTCCTATAAACTTGAGAGATACCATACTACATAATTTCTGAGACAACTTTTAGGGTCAAAAGTATGCTTTGAGCCAGGCATGGTGGTTCATGGCTATAATACTCAGGAAGCCAAGTAGAGAGACAAATAGCTCAAGACCAATGTACATAGCAATATCCTGTCTCTAAAAACCAGAAACAAAAATGAGTGTGGTACAAGTATTCTCTGACAAGAAGACAGTTTTATTAGAACTGTTCTAGTTTACTTTCTATTGCTGTGAGAACTTCAAGATGAAAACAAACAAACAAACAAACAAACAAACATCAAATGCAAAATAGGGGAGAAAAGAATTTATTTGGCTTATATTTAATACTGCTAATGGCTTGCTCACTGGCTCATATTCGACTAACTTTCTCTTCTTTTAATGATTATTTTATGTGATTCATGATGGTTTGGCAGCATGCACAGATGTCCACTGTGTGTCTATGGTGCCTGGAGATCAAAAGAGGGCATAGGGTCCCCTGAAACTGGATTGATAGATGGTTGTGTGCAGACATGGGTGCTGAGAACTGAACTTGAGTTTTCTCCAAGAGCATCAAATGCCTCTAACCTCTGAATCGACTGTCTTTCCCGCCCTTAGCTAACTTTCTTATGCAGCCTTTAGAAGGTTGGGCCCTCTCATGTCAATTAACACTCAAGATAATCTCTTAGAGACATGGCCAAAGCTAGTCTTTTTTTTTTTGGTTTTTTGAGGCAGTGTTTTTCTGTGTAGCCCTGGCTGTCCTGGAACGCACTCTGTAGACCAGGCTGGCCTCGAACTCAGAAATCCGCCTGCCTCTGCCTCCCAAGTGCTGGGATTAAAGGCGTGTGCCACCACCGCCCGGCTGACCCCAATGTTTTTAATGCAGCATAAACAAGACCTGTCTAAGGTTTTATTTGACTTTATAAGTATATTTGTGTAATGTTCTTCTTTCTTACCTGGTCTATTAGTGGCCGCCAAAATAAAAACTTGCTGACGTGTTTCTAAACCATCCATCTCTGTAAGCAGCTGATTCACCACACGAACACTAGCACCTGTCTTTAAAAAAAAAAAAAAAAAATCTAGTTTCTTCACCTTCAAGGTAAGGAAAACAGTCCATTTTTCCTCTACACAACCGAACACATTGAACACATTTCCTCTCTTGAATGAGAGCGTCTGTCAAAGAAGGATTATAGTGACCAAGCAGTGGCATAAATCCAGAAGTCCCAGGTACCCAGAGGCTAAGGCAAGAACATATAATCGAGGAGTATAGGGTCAATTTGAGCAGGAGAGGGGATGGGGGAAGGGAAGGGGAGGGGGAAGGGGAGAGGGGAGGAGGAGGGGTACGGGAGGGGAGGGGAGGGGAGAGGAGAGAGGAGAGGGAGAGGAACAAACTATGGAAGAGAGGAGGAAGAGAGTGAGAAAAGGCAGGCAGGCAGGTAGGCAGATGAGCACCAATGACTATTAAGAGTCACTGTCACTATAGATACTGTGCAAAAGGAAAATCCTCAGTGTACTTCCCTAGCCAAGCTGCTGTTACTCCCTGTCAGAATGAGAAAAACTGAAGCTTAGAAGAGGCTACCTGTCTAAATTGTATGCTTCTGAATTATTTAACAGCTACCACGAACCACCATTTGGGTGACTCTAGACTTAGCTTCCAAGCTCTAGATTTCTGCCTATGTTGAATATCCCACATCTTTCAATGCAATACATAAGGGGACACTGAGTACATTATATTTTTATCTTTTTCTTGAAGCAAATGGTACAAGTATTCAGGACTATACCCAAGGGAATGGTTTAGGTACAGGGAATACAGAGATATAGAAACATGGAAATAAAATACACAGACAATGAAGGAAATGAGAAAGTACTGCTATGGATGTTTTACTATTAATTGACTTTCTTCATTCACTATAAATTCATGTATAGAGACAGCAATGTGCTTTAACCCACTGGTTCTTTTAGATGGATGCATGTACGGACCTTTATTATCCCTCTCTGGTGACGTAACACTCCTAATTAAGACATTAACAAACTCATAATCCAGACTCAGCAACACTGAGAATTATTTGGTTTAGCCAGGTAGTGGTTGTGCACACCTTTACTCCCAGCACTTGGGAGGCAGAAGCAGGTGGATGTCTGTGAGTTCAAGACCAGTCTGGTCTACAAAATGAGGTCCAGGACAGGCAGGGCTACACAGAGAAACCCTGTCTTGAGAACAAAAAGAAAAGGATTGCTAATTTCAAGAAGAAACTGTGAGGCTGGAGAGATGACTCACTTGAAACACAAAATATATTTTGTTAATAATAAGTGACAAAAAAATAGACACAGGCATTATCCTTAGTTGCAAAGGTGTGGGAAATGGTTAATTTAACACTGTTCTTGGGTATTATGTAAACAACAAGTAATTTGAAATATGACATAGTATTAACTGTATTTCAGTATCTAAGTCACATGTATGTACCTATTTAGATATGATTCATACTTCCCAAATTCTATTACATATTACATATTATTTCTACATGTGCACAAACATCAGATACAAATGTCAGAGAAAGTTCTGTCTGTAAAAGAAACATGTAGGCCCCAGTCACTGAGCCGCCGCCGAGGACTCAGCTGCCTCCCCCTCGAGCCCCCTTCGCTTCCCGATGCTCCGTCCCCCCTACACCCCGCCTTCTCCCAGGCCATTTCGGAGGAAAAGGAATCGTATCGTATGTCCGCTATCCAGAACCTCCACTCTTTCGAGCCCTTTGATGATGCAAGTGAGGGTGATGACCTGCCTCCTGCTGGCACTGAGGATTATATCCACCTAAGAAGTCCACAGAGAAACGGCAGGAAGACCCTTCCAACTGTCCAGGCAGGGGACCACTGATGATTACGATAAAAAGAAACTAGTGAAGGTGTTTAAGAAGAAATTTGCCTGCAATGGTACTGTAATTGAGCATCCAGAATATGGAGAAGTAATTCAGCTACAGGGTGACCAGCGCAAGAACATATGCCAGTTCCTGATAGAGATTGGACTGGCTGAGGACGACCAGCTGAAGGTCCATGGGTTTTAAGTGCTTGTGGCTCTCGGAAGCTTAAGTGAGGGTTTCCTTGCAATGAGTAGAATTTCCCTTCTGTCCCTTGTCACAAGTTTAAAAACCTCACAGCTTGTATAATGTAATCATTTGGGGTCCGCTTTTAACTTGGACTAGTGTAACTCCTTCATGCAATAAACTGAAAAGAGCCATGCTGTGCAGTCTTGAAGTCCCTCATTTAAACAGGTTAAGCAGTAAGCCCTGGCAGTGTCCCCCCTGAAACAAAGCAATAACAAGGTTTCAGCCAAGAACCCCAAGATCACAGGAGGCTATGTCTGACCAGAGGTTCCTTGGGGCTCCCTCTACAGAGTCCCCCGCCCTAGGAGAGTGTCATCACTTGAACAGCCCAGGTGACTGAGAGTATGGTTAACACTGCCCCAGCTATGTCACTAGAGGGAGTGTCTGGCCCTAAGAAGAACCCCTGGTGTCTGACCAGATAGGCAGAATTCAGAAAGCCACCTTTCCAGAGAAGTCATGGACATCTATCTAGCTCACCACCAGGGCAGTCGTTTTTAAGCAGATCTATCCTAGCCAAGGGATGTTGAAACATGAAGGGTGAGGCCAGCCTGGTGTCAGTTAAACTTATGACAAGGGAACACATGCCAAGCTGGTGCTATTGGTTATGTGGCTAGCTGTAGAATCTTCAACTCAATACGAGCCGCTGTGCCGTGTGAAGGAACAAACACTGGTCTTTGGGTTTTCTTTTCCCCTCCAGTTTTAATGTTATGTAATGTATTTAAATCCTTATTTAAATAAAGCTTGTTTTCAGAAATAAAAAAAAAAGAAACATGTAGAAAAAATATGAATGTCTAAAACAAGGTATTATTGTTAAGTAAATTCTGCTTTCGATAGACAAGTGAAAATCAAATCCTCAAGATAACATATCCCTCCTTATACATGCAGCAGAGCTCTAGTGTGATTAAATGACAACATGCAGTGTGTTAGTGTCAGAAACTTTCAAGCAGTGTCATCAGGGGAAAGGGACGTTAACTTTTTCCATACATGGGACTTATATCAACTTTTATAAGCATTCATTCACATGTAACTAGAAAAAGCTTTGATACTTACTTCTCGGTCTGATCTCCGAGGACATAAAGCATCTACTTCATCAAAAAATATCACACAGGGTGCCGAATTCTTGGCTCGCTGAAAAACCTGTCGCACAGCACGTTCACTTTCACCAACATACTAAACACAGACAGAGAGCAGATGAAATGAGAGACAGTCCAATCCTGGGGCTGAGTACCACGTCACAGCAAAGCAGTTCTGCATCATGTAGATCCTATGCATTTATATGTTGAGGAATGTTAAACAATCATTTTTAGAGCCATGAGTTTGAGAGTGGAAGCAGGGAATGTTTGGATAGAGAAAAGGGAAAGGAGCAAATGTTGTAATTATATTTTAATTTAAAAAGTAATTTAAGGCCAGGCAATGGTGGCGCACGCCTTTAATCCCAGCACTTGGGACGCAGAGGCAGGTGGATTTCTGAGTTCGAGGCCAGCCTGGTCTACAGAGTGAGTTCCAGGACAGCCAGGACTACATAGTGAAACCCTGTCTTGAAAAACCAAAAAAAAAAAAAGTAATTTAAAAATTGAAGTCATATAGATGTCAAGAATTCTGAAAGTATTAAACCATATGCATTTGCTAATAGTAAGTCTTTTTGACCTATAAAAATAACCAATTGTACTGGACATCGTGGTATACTCCTGTATCTCAGTATTTGGAAGACTGAGACAGGATAATCACCAGTTTCAAATCACCCTTCAGTATACAGCAAACCCCTGTCTTAAAAAAAAAATCTCCTAGTTCTATTGTAGTCTAAAACCAATTTCCTATTTCTTATATAATAAAATACCTAGGAGTAATTATTACACATCTAACAATATTATTAAAACACACAAATCAAATTGATATCTACTCCCATATATAAACAATCAAATATTCTTGCTAAAATAGGAAAAAAAAATTTTACACAGCAACAGTTGAATCCAGGTGAATGTGCAAGGCATCTCATAGATTCATAATGGCTTACTCCATGTTAAATTTAAACATTAAGTCCAGTCAAGGAAACATAGCTATCCATAAGTAGCAATGTATCAGAACTGAGTAATTAGACAATTTTTATGTATGGACAAAGTTTTCCTCTATAGCTACACATAAAAAAATTTCCGTTTGGGCTGAGAGTATAGCTCAAATAGTACAGCAATGTTGCATACACAAAGCCCAAGAATCATTTTTTAAAAAGGAAAAAGTTTTCACAACTAACACTAAGAGCAAAGTTTGGGATGGGGAGATAAACAGCTTGCTGTGCAAGCATGAGGATCTGAGTTCAATTCCCAGGACCCACATGAAAACAAACAAACACCCAATGTGGTGGCTAGCATTTATAATCCCAACCCTGAGAGGTAGATACTGGAAGATCCTTGGGGCTTGCTGATTGGCCAATCTGGACCAATCAGCAAGCTCTAGTCTGCTTACTCAGAGACCCTGTTTCAATAAAACAAGGTAGACAGAACCTGAGAAACATCACCCAGGGTATACCTCTAGTCTCCCCACACACCTGTGTACTCACCTGTACACCCTCCAATACATACAAAACAAGCACACTCTACTAATTTGTAGATATTTAATTTTCTCATTTATTTATTTTGTGTATGGCAAGGGAGGAGGCATGCCAGAGCTGAGATAGCTCAGATGATAAGTGCTTACATGCATGCATGAAAACTCAAGTTCAATTCCTGGAACTCATTGACAAAGCTGGGCACTAGGGAGGCAGAGAAGGCATATTCCTGAGGCTCACTGTCCAGTATAGTCTCACAAGACCCAGGCCCCTATAAGAGACCCTATCTCAAGACACAAAATGAACAGTTTCTGAAGAATAACACCCTAGATATACCCCTAACTTCCATACACATGTGCATCTGTAAACATGTATTTAGTGTAGTGTATACACACACACAAATTCCTACTTCATAGGCTGTTCAAAAATGCATACATTTGAAGTGTCTGACAAAGAGAAGAGAACAAACACTTTTCAATGTTATAACTGTAATAAATTATTTCTATTTTAAAGCAGAAACTCAAGTTCATAGTTTAATAGATTTACTCAAGAAAGCATTTACAAACCCTGTATGTTATAGCAAGCTCAATCTTCTAACTCTGTAACAGATTTTGTCAAAATGTCACAACTGTCCAAAGATCTAAGAGCACAGAGTCCTATAATTAGAATTGACATATTTTATGTTAATTAAAATAATGGCTGATGCCACAAAACTTACCATATTCAATAATTCGGGGCCTTTGACAGATATAAAATTTAATCCAGACTCATTTGCCACAGCCTAGCCAGAAGAAACAAAAAGATATAAAAAAAAACCTTTTGTACTACACATATACATATATTGAGTGGTCAAATATTGAAAGAATTTTAAGACATATGTTGTGGCAAGTGTACACCTTTAATCATAGCAATCAGGAGGCAGAAGCAGGCACATCTCAGAGTTCAAGGTCATTCTGGTCTAACAATGAGTTCTAGTCAACTGAAGTGAGGCCCCATCTAAATAAAGAAAAGCAATTTCAAATAATAATCATGAATTTAAGTTGAGATCAATACTCACATTCTACTAATGGCACAAACCTTTAGAAAGCTACCTTAATATACTTTAAAAAGATGCATTCTATTCACAGAAGAATGATTTAGGACTATTCTAATATAATTACCGGTGAATGTAAGATTATATAATGTAATTGGATTTTGTTTGCTTCCTTAGTTGGTTTTATAGTTTTGAGACAAAGGTTTCATGTGGCCTAGGCTAGCCTCAAACTCACTGAGTAGCCAATGATAACCTTAAACTCTTGATCCTCCTGCCTCTAGCTCCCAAAGTACTGGGATTACAGGCATGTACAACCATATCTATATTACCACAAACTACAAACATCTCTATGGCAAACTATAATACAGGCATTAAAAATCCTAAAACACTTTTATTACGTTTACTTATGTGTACATATGTATATGTGCAGGTGTGCACGTGCTTTACAGCACTCTTCTGGAGGAGTCAGTTCTTTCCTTCCACAGTGTGGGTCCTGGGATTGAACTCAAGCTATGAGGTTTGGTGGTAAATGCCTTAACTTGCTCAGTGGCCATCTCTTCAGCCCAAGGTATTAAAAATATTGTATTCAGGGCTGGAGAGATGGCTCAGTGAAGCACTGGCTGCTTTTCCAGAGGACCTGGGTTTGATTCCCAGCACTCAAATGGCAGTTGGTATAACTCTCTGTAAAACTCCAGTTCCAGGGTTTCTGTTGCTGTCTTTTGATCTCTCTGGGCCCCAGGCACACAGAGGGTACAACTGATACTGAAAATAAAAATACTGTATTCAGGAAATAATGCTAACCAAGAAAGGAAAGTGTGCTTAAAGACCTTTTTTTTAAAGCCAGGTATAATAATACACATTTATAATCCTAGCACTCAGGAGTCTAAAATAGAAGGATGATCTGTACGAGATTGTGGTCAGCCCATACTACATAAGTTCCAGACCAACCTAGGATACAGAGGAAGATACTACTCCCTGTAATTAAAACAAAAATTGTTTAAAACAAAATTTTGCATTTTTGGAGGACATATATATATTATTGTCATGGTTTAGATTATGAAACATCCCAAAGGTTTGTATGGTTAAAGGCTTGAGTTTCTGCTGACAGAGTTTTAAGAAATAATTGGATCCTAAGCGACATAAATGACAGATTAATTGATACATTAACAATTCAATCTCCTAAGATGTGTCCAGTCCCCTCAGGACTTGATATGTCAAGGTGGGTTGATATCCAGGAGTGGCCTCCCCTTTTCTCAGGAGAAAGGGAGGACAGGAGAGCATGGGGAAAGGGAAGGGACAGGGAAGGACTGTGAGGAGAGAAGAAAGGGGAAGCTATGACTAGAATATAAAGTAAATTAACTAATAAAAATAATAATTCTATATCCTGGAGTGGTGGTAGTACATGCCTTTAATCTGGGAGGCAGAGGCAGGCAGATCTCTATATGAGAACAGCTTGTTACCAGGAGAGCGTTCCAGGACAGCCAAAGCTACAAAGAGAAACCTTGACTGAGGGGGTAGGTGATGTGGGTGAGATTTGATCTCATTACTGGGAGGTAGTGGAATGCTTGAGAATCAAAGTCATCAGGGGCACATTCTGGAAAGATTTATCCTGTGCCCACTCTCTTCTTCCTAGCTGCCATGAGGTAAGATACTTTTCTTTGTTACCCTTCTGACATGATGTTCTCCCTCCCCACAGGCATAGAAACACAAAGCTACCAGTTACTGGACTAAAGTCTCAGAAATCATGAGCCAAAATGTCCGTATTTGATCACACCAACAAAAGCTCATTATCAAATTATCTTGTCTATATTACATCTTAATATGCATAAAAGAAAGATACCTGGAACTGACTACCAAATAAATAAAACAGTGGTAGTTGAAAGCAGTAGTAGGGTTAAAAAAGGGGTTTTCCCTTTTCCTTATTTATATTCTCTATTGCAGAAAGTTTTTTTTAAATATCAAAAAGAATATAGTGGAAAATATTCAAGTTATTAATAATTAAACAAAAGCAAGAAGCAAATGAGCTACAAACTAAAGTAATACCACACTACTTAGACAATGCAAAGGTTAGAATGACCCTGAGCAAGAGTACTGCAAGCTCATGAAATGTTGCACAGCTTTGAGAAACACATGAGGCTTTTGTCTTCAGGGGACAGGACTCTCTTCTTGCTTCTTTCCCAGGAAATGAAGGTGACACAACCAATTAAAACCATTTTGTTCTAAAGGACAACGTAGAAAATTTTATTTAAAAAAAAAAATCAGTTTGCTAAAAAGGATTTCTAACAGAGTATATACAAAAGATCTATTCCATGATGTTATTTAAATCTTCATTATCCTACTGAAAGCAAGCAATGCTGCAACATACACAGTAGAACTTGTGCCATACCTTTGCTAGCAGAGTTTTTCCACATCCAGGAGGACCAGCTAGAAGGATGCCAGCTGGAGTCCCCAAGCCAAGAGTTCTGAACTGGTCTGGGTTGTGAACAGGTGCCTAGGAGAAATAAAGCCAACTGTGATCCATTATAGGTGCTCACTTTACACTGAATGCTAGAATGCTAAAATGTCTTTCATCTCCTAGATTCAACCCTGACCACAAAGCTTAAAAGTGACAGTGGCTAGTCCATTTTTGTTTTAGACATCAGATACATGGTACATGATAATAAACAGGAAAGGCTCTCTCTTTCATTCTTCTTGCTATCTTTGAAGACAAGGTCGCACTATATATTCTAGTTAGCCTCCATCTTAATATGTAGACCAGGCTGGCCTCAAGTTCAAAGATCTGTCCATTTCTGAAGAACAAAGATTAAAGGTGTGTACTACCACATCAAGCCAGAATTCTTAAGGAATTTATACATACATGTAAATTATGAAAACATTTTTGACAAAAAATACAGTATTTCATTATTTTTTACCATTAAAATGTGCCAGTGTATGCATAGATAGAGGACAGTCTTTAGCCCTTGCCTTCCACTTTCTTTGAGGCAGGGTCTCTTTGTTTTTTCTGTTGTGTATACCATGCAGGCCAGCCCACAGCTTCCAGGGCCCCTTGTTGTCTATGCCTCCAGTCTCCCTCTTGGGAGTGTTGTAGTTATAGACATTACTACGGCATCTGATTTAACATGGCTTCTGGGGACACACACTCAGACCCTTACCCCGTGCGTGGCAAATGGTTTACCACTGAACTATCCCCCCAGGCCAAAACTATTTGTTTGTTTGTTTGTTTGCTTTGTTTTTTGTTTTTGTTTTTTCGAGACAGGGTTTCTCTGTGTAGCTCTGGCTGTCCTGGAACTCACTCTGTAGACCAGGCTGGCCTCGAACTCAGAAATCCGCCTGCCTCTGCCTCCCAAGTGCTGGGATTAAAGGCGTGCACCACCACCGCCAGACTAAACTATTTCAATATATTAAAATCAAGTTTTATAAACAACCAAATGTCTAAGTTATGAAAGTCGAGAAGACAGCATTCTCAGGGAACTCAGAGGCACACGGTTAGATATCACACATGGCTGCTCTCCGCAATCCTAGTGTGCTTTCACATTTGTTAGTACATAACTCCTAAATGGATCACAACTCAATTAAAACATCAGTAAGCAGAGAAGTAAAAGGAAACTAAAATCAATCCAAAGTTTCCTGGGCATCAAAATTGACTTAACCCTCTTGATTATGACCAAGATAAGAAGGTATTTTTCACACACATTGGTCTTGAATGAAACCTGAATTTCTTTTTTCTTGAACTCACTATGTAGTAACTAAACACAACCAAAATAACAAGTATGAAACATCTCAAGAGAAAGATACCTCACTGTTGGGAAAGCTAAGACTTAAAAAAGATGACTAAACTGAAGCTGAATTTCCTATTATACCATCTGAACTGTATCTGAAAAAAAAAAAAGATGTATTTTTAAACATGCATTTGGGGGCTATAGAGATGGCTCAATGGTTGAGTACTTATCGCTCTTGCAGAGAACCTAGGTTCATTTCCCAGCACCCAAAAAAGTGGTTCTCAATAATCTATAACACAACTCCAGAGGAGTGATACCTTCAGACCTCCACCAGTACTAGACATGTACATGGTACACATAAATACATGCAGGCAAAACACTCATACACATAAAATTAAAAAATCTAATTTTTTAATGACATAATCTGGTAGACATGCATGCAGGTTTTCTTTTAGATCTTAACTCATGACCAATGCTAATGGTACAGATAGCTGGTATACCTACCAATATTGCCATTATAAGCTCATCTCTAATATCTTCCAGGGCACCGATATCAGCCCATGTCACATTAGGGACAGTTACAAAGCCTTCCCTTTTGGCAGAAGGCTGGACTTCTGCTAGAGCAACAATGAAGTCATTTAATTCAATGCACAGTCCTTGCATCTGTTCCTCTGAGAGGGTATCTTGGTTTCTTAGCAACAACAACAGCCTTTGCAATTCATCCTTAAAATAACAAAGGAAAATATGAACCAGAAAGTTACGTGTAATTTAAATAAGTATTCCAAGATTCTCTAAGTTATAGTGAATTTAATGAACTATGCATTGTAATGTCTACACAATATGTATTCCTTTCTAAGTTGAACATAAATTTGGTGAAATAAGGAAAAATCAATTACAATCAAGAAATATAAAAAGTAATTTCTAGGTCAGTATTAGTGGCTGATGGCACTCAGTTACCCAAAGCTAATGCGTAAGTTTGAGGCTAGCACAGTCAGATAGCATTAGATAGATAGATATCTATCTGATATTAAATATAATTCTAAATTTTAAGCTAGGGTTAGATAATGCAAACACAGGCAGTTGGCCAAAAATATCTATTTCATCAATTCCATTTCATTTCTAAATATTCATAAAGCAGTTGACTTATGACAAAATTACTGTGACAACAATGTAAATTCATTTTAAGTTTCTCTAATAACTTATCAACCAAATCTACAGTGAGGAACCCCTCCCAAGACAGAGTTTCTCTATGTAGCCCTAGCTGTCCTGGAACTTGTTCTACAGACCAAGCTGGCTTTGAACTTACAGAGATCCACCTGCCTCTGCCTCCTGAAGATTAGAGCCAAGCACCACTACCACCTGGCAAAATTTTTAAATTAATTCATGTGGATAGGTGTTCTGCCTACATGTATGTGTGTGTTCCATGTGTGTGATGCCTGCAGAGGCTAGAATAGTGTTGGATCTTCTAGGACTGAAGTTATAGACAGTTGAGAGTTGCAATGTGGGTGCTGGATTTTGTATCCAGGTCCTCTGGAAGTACTAGCAGCCAGTGCTCTTACCAGTGAGCCATCTCTCCAGCCCGTTTTATCTCTTTAATCATTCTGAAATCAGCACCTCTCTATGTAGATAGATGTTAATGTATTTACTGTGTGCTTTCTGCTGGGAAAGTAATGCTGGTAATAAAGATTAAAATAAAAGAACCTATACTGGACTCAGACAAATCATCAAGATAGGTAAATTTTGTAGCAAACTGCTGCCATTAAAACTGCCATAACAGAACTAAAGAGATGGTAAGTACTGCCTGTGATTCCAGAGGACCCAAGTTCAACTCCCAGCATCCACAGGGCAACTCACAACTGTGTGTAACTCCAATTTCAACAGATCTGATTCTGGCCTCTTCACAGGCAAGCATGTGGTGCACAGACATACACTCAGGCAAACACTAGTACACATAAAATAAATTTAAAAATCAAAACAATACCATACTTTGTGAATATATTATTATTTGAGAAATTCTGGTATTTATAGAGCTCTCTTTTATTTCTCCTTATAGTCTCACTCTCAGATGTTTAAATGCAGAGCCTGGTTTCTCATCGCTGAATCTAGCACTTAGAACTCTCAATAGATATTTATTAATAAAAAACAAGCCAAACCTGGATTAATGCAAGCCTCGTGTTTAAGCTCAGTTCAGATAAAAGTTAAATTGGATAAAATAAGTTTTAAAACACAGCTCTAGGAGTAGAGAATTGGCTCAGTGTTTGAGAATTCTTACTGCTCTCATGGAGGACCTGAGATTGATTCCCAGCACCCACAAATAACTCAAAACCATCTCTAAGTCCAGTCTCTGGAGATCAGAAGCTCCCTTCCTTCTGACTTCCATGGGCAACAGGAACACATGCCTGCATATATACACATAAAGGTAAACACTCACATATACAAAACAATAAAATCTACAAGAAAAATAAAATGCAGCTCTACTTAGTAGAATCATGTGGCAAATCCCATAATGCATCTTGAAGTGATATGAAGTTTACAACATTTGCCAGTCTGTGTATGAAAATAGTTATCTAACTGAAAATTGAAAAATTTGGCAATTCTATGAGAACATATCTTTACAGATTAGAAACATGACTTAACTAAAATGAATTTTTGAATCAACCAATCACCAAATCAGGCCAAAATCCTGCATTTTTGACATGACAGCTCATGTCTATAATCTATAAGTTAGAAGCTGAAGCTTTAAGTTAGTCAAAACTATAGTTAAAAAAAAAAACACCACCTCAAACAAACAAACAAAAAAAGAAAATTAAAGTAAATACTAAATTGTATGCAATATTATAAAAAGAATGAGTTTATCATGGTTGGCAGGAATAATGATGGTTTCAAATAAGGAAAAAAGAACAACTGATTTAAAACCAAAGACCTGGATTTAGTACCTGCTTTGCAAAGCAGAGACCGACTTCTTACACTTAGTGTCTTTAGTAACAAAGTAAGGAAACTTCCTACCCAAATTACATAGTGCTGTATGTTACAATGATCTTTTATGACTTACCAACTTACATCACAAGTGTCACATAAATGTCAATGCCTTGGCAGGAACTGCACATTTTTTCCGTAAAGGAATAAATCTCAGTCATGCCAGGGCATGAACACAAGGTAAGAGAAAGAACACTGAAGAGCACCTGTGTTTTAGAACCGGGCTCAGCAACCAGCCTTTCCTCCTGATCCCCTTCAGAGGGCAAACCTTCAATCTCAGGTTTTTTCTTCTGCCGCTCCTGTTGTTTCATCAAGACCCTATTGACGGCACACATGGCCGCCTCACGGCACAGAGCCATCAGATCAGCACCAACAAAGCCTGGCGTTAGGTGTGCTAAGTGACAAAAATCGAAAGTTTCCGGAAGCCTCAGGTTTCTGCATAACGTTTGAAGAATTCTGCAGAAAAGACAGTTTAAAAAATTCAGACTCCATGACTATTAGTAAAAGTAAATTCCTACCTATATTTACTTGAAAGCTTATACATAATCTGTACTGATGGTATGATAATTAATGCTATATAAGATGAAATAAATGACTCAATATATGCTCAATACAACTATATACCCAACTTTACTTTTCCAGAAAAATTTATACTAATTATCTGTTTACTGGTAAATATGCTATGTACTATAAAGATTATAAGTGCAGGTTTGTTTCTTTTATGCACTTTGAAGTGTTTTGGAATACTGTAGAGGAAATAGCTTATGGAGGATATACTTACGGAGCAAATAAAATAATGTATTTACCAGAAAGAGACACCTACTCAAACCATACTTCATACTACTCAGCACTAAAAGTTTGTTATCCCCCTCCCTCCACCCTTGAAATGAAGTCTTAGTATGTATATAGCCCTTGCTGGCCTGCAATTTGATGTATAGAGCAGGCTGACCTTGAACTCAGACTACCTCTGTCATCCAAAAACTGGAGTCAATGTTCTGTCCTGTCATGTCCAGCTCTGCAAGTTATATACTCATTACACAAAATGAAGGTTTCATAGTGATATTTATCTTGGTACTTCAAACATCCAACATTAGATTTTGAGGCAGAATCTTATTTGACTTAAGATGGTCTCAAACTCTGTATGTAGTGGAGAATGGTCTTGAACTCTTGATCCTCCTGCCTCTACCTACCAAGTACTAGGATTATAGATCTATGCCACCATAGTCAGCTAACATCATCTTCTATTAGGATAGCTACTGCTCCAATTTCCATCGTTTACTGTTGTTCAGACCCTATACCATACATGTAAAACATTTCATTAAGCCCAACTGACAATATATGGTATGCGCCAATGTCATTTATTTTAAGAGATGCAGGTCCTCTTATGTTGCTCTGGCTAATTCTAAGTCCTCTGCTCAATTGATCTCTCTGACTCAGTTTCCTAAGTATAAGAGACTACATACAGGTACATGATACCACACACAGCTTCTTTTTTTTTTTTTTTTTTTGGTTTTTCGAGACAGGGTTTCTCTGTGTAGTCCTGGCTGTCCTGGAACTCACTCTGTAGACCAGGCTAGCCCCAAACTCTCGAACTCAGAAATCCGCCTGCCTCTGCCTCCCAAGTGCTGGGATTAAAGGCGTGCGCCACCACCGCCTGGCTATGTGTATATTCTTAAACATTCATTTACTGAAGCATGTATGTATACAGTATAAATTACTAAATATGTGATTATCTTGTGAGCTTGTCACAATTTGTAGACAAAGAGGATGAATGGAAAGTAAACAACCCAGTAGAAGACACAAAATAAAAATAACTCTTCTTCCCAAAGAGATACAATAGTGAGAAACAAAGTAATCTGCTTGCTGGAACACCAAAGAACCAAAGGGTTAGAACTGGAGTTATTAAAAGTATTGGGCCAGAAGCATAGCATCAAAAGCCAAAACATAAAAATCACCTGAAAAATCTGTGTAATATAGTAAGAACACATGGGCATGTACTCCACCCTGTCAACCAGAACTCCAGGAATGTTCTCTCTGAAGAAATCAAATCAAGAAGCAAAGCTCAAGGTTTGGCAGTCTACATATGTAGACTATACATTAGTATGTACATTATGTATGTACATACTATGTACATTATTCTTCAGCCCCCTTAGCTTGCTTGTGTCAGGGCAGGAGACAGACTTACACTACAGTACCACAGTACTGTCTGGAGACCCAACACACAGACACAGACACACACACATATGAAAGAAAGTGAAAAGAAGAAGGGATGGAAGAAATAGAGGAAGTAGAAATGACAATAACCCTAACTACCTTCAGTCGGACTTAACTACATGCCAGGTAATGTTATTTTGCATTTACCTTACAGTTTGTCAGGTATATAATATAACATAGACCAAAACAAACACACATACATACATGCAAAAGGAGTAAGAAAACAAAACAAAAAAACTCTCAGGAAATAAAAACTGCACTTCAATGGTAAAGCACTTGCCTAGGATGTTGGAGGCCCTGGGGCTTTAATGATAAGGACTATAATAAATCCTCCAACAAAGTTAACAAATAAAATATTGAAGTTTAAGAAAAGGGAAAAACTTGAAGAAAGTAAGTCACCTTAACTAAAGTTACTGCTGCAGTGAGCTTTGCTTTCACTTTTAACAAAGGCTGCAGTGCAGGATGTCAGAAGGACGTGCTTCCAGAGCGCCAGCCATTTCCTCTCGAGGGAGTGTCTCTTCCCCTCTAAGGAAGCGCCTCTACTTCTGTCTCGATCCATACACAGCGTTTGTTGTTGTTTTGTTTCTTAAAGACTGGCATGGAGATAAAGACACTTTTTAGGCAAAAAGGAGCTGTCATTTTATCCCTATACATCACTTCTCATTTCTGAAAAATAAGATCTGGACAAATGAATCAGGAAAAAAAAGATTCTATTAAAAGGAGAGTCTACAAGGACAATATTATGCTGTGGAGTTGGTACATAATAAATGAAATATATAATACATAAAAGAAATACATATTTATAAAATATATAAAGACAAAACTTTCTGAGAGAAACTTTCTCAGTGGACACAGATGGGAAAATGGAGCCTAGAGTGTGCTAGCCAGCCTTCTACCACTCTAGTAAGACCTAAGACAAACAGCTAATAAAGAGAAAAGATGGATGTGGGCTCAGTTCTGGAGGTTCTGGAACATAACCAGATATTCACATTATTTTTAGGCCTCTCCTAGGGAAGAACAGCGTATCATGGTTAGGCTATTGTGGTCCGGCAGATTTGCTCTCTTCACAACTAGAGAGTAAAAGACAACAAAAAAGTGGGTGAAGACACCAGAGTCCCTTCATCCCATTAGAACACACTACATCAATGACTGGAAGACTCATCTCTAGGCCACATCTCCATAGGTTCCACAAAACCTTCACCATAAGGCATTTTTGTGTGATGTTTTGTTACAGCAACTACAAAAACTGTTTTTGAAATGTAACACTACCTTTGACCCAACAATTCTGCTTTCTACTTACCTAATATCTATCTGGGGATGTACCAAAATGGCAGAACATTTGCTTAATAGCATGTGCAAGGCCCTGGGTTCAATCTCCAGTGCAGTAAGAAAACAAAAAATAAGCCGGGCCACTTGGGTGGCAGAGGCAGGTGGATTTCTGAGTTTGAAGCCAGCCTGGTCTACAGAATGAGTTCCAGGACAGCCAGGGCTACACAGAGAAACCCTGTCTATAAATAAATAAATAAATAAATAAATAAATAAATAAATAAATAGACTAAACTCGGAGTAAGACACATCCCCAGTACTCAGACTATGAACACTAATACAACTTGCCATTAAAAGAATAAACAGTCCTTAGAAGAACAAGTCTTAACTTCAGATCTGGCACAAAAAATAAAGATGATCGTGGGTGTTGTGGTATCACAGTGCCCTGGTCAGGATTACTATTTCTGTGAAGAAATACCATAACAAAAGGAACTTGAAGAGGGAAGGGTTTACTCAGCTTATACTTCCAGTTCTTATACTACTGTTCTTTATTGAAAGAAGTTAGGGCATGATGTATAACAGAGCAGGATCCTGGAGATAGGAACTGACAGTACCATGGAAGGGTGCTGCTCACTGGCTTGGTTCTCATAGGTTTGCTCAGCCTGCTTATAACAGAACCCAGGGCCACCAGCTCAAGGATGGCACTACTACCCACCATGGGCTGTGTCTTCCCTCATCAATTACTAATTAAGAAAATGCCTTACAGCCAGATCTTATGGGAGCATTTTCCTAACTGAGATTCCCTCCTTTCAGATTACATATAACTAGCCAGGACACACAGTAAGGAAAACTATCAGAAGCAATAACATCAAAATGACATATCTTTTTGGCAGTCCAGAAAGGTCGAAACTGTTTGGTAATTGCTGACACTATGGAATAAATACATGAAGTTCCATAATTGTAACAGCTTTAAAACACATCCAAAGATTTATGACCCTTCTCTTATTGGAAGATTCAGTGTATCTTTTCTTTGAAATTGGGCCAACCTTAATGACAAAACTATCTAGTGTAGTGATATTAATATTTTGTGACTTCTAAAGCTAGGTTTAAAAAGCAATGTTGGCTAGGCTTATTTGCAGAAAGCCTCTGACTGAAGCCCTATGTGGTTATGAAGAAGCTGAAACTGTCCCTAAGAAGTTTGAAGCTAGACAAGAAAAATGAGAGGGAAATGATTTTGTGTTTGTGTGTGTAGATACACAATATATACTATATATTTATTTTATATGTTTATATTCTCTCTCTCTCTTCTCTCTTCTCTCCTCTCTCCCCCCCCCCAACCCCCCTGCTCTCTCAAATTCCCATAACCTAAGCGGACCTCCTGCTCTTGCTTCAGCTACTAAAGCTACATGACACCAGGAGACAGAATCACCTGGTTTACTCAGACCTTTCTAAACTGTTAATTCACAGAAATGATGAGTAACAATAAAGTGAATAAGATGTTTAGGGCATGACATTTTAAGGTGGTTTGTTTTATAACAATGACGGGGAAAGGGACACTTCCTATTCTTGAAATACTGACATTGACGGGTTCTTGAAGAAAGGAGAGTTGGTTTTCTTTTAAGGGTATGTATGGCCTCTGGCAGGTTGATCCTGCTCTAATGACTGGTCCCAAACCTTGCTTGAATACATGGGAAGCAGTTAAGAGCACTGACTACTCTTCCAGAGGTCCTGAGTTCAATTCCCAGTAACCACATGGTGGCCCACAATCATCTGTAATGGGATCCGATGCCCTCTTCTGGTGTGTCTGAAGACAGAGACAAAGTAATACTATACATAAAATAAGTAATTCTTTAAAAGATTTTTACACATAAAGTAAGTTACCGTCTAAGTTATTTTTGTATAAAACAAAAGCTTGGCTTAAGGACACCATGAGGCACAACTGGGATAACTCTCTGTACTGAAGTTGAGATTATAGACATATACCACTTTGCTCAGCTGCTTTGTATTTCATAAATGAATATGAGTAAGATGAATATTATTTTGCTGGTTGTATTAAAGTATTAGTAAAGACATTTTGATAAGTTATTTAAAGAATACATATGAATATAATTATCTATACAAATAACTCGTGTCAAATAATAGTAATTTTTTAGAAAAATGAGGTGACATCAAACACTGGGAAGAAGAAAATGACGGCACATATTCTCCATCCATTCTCACATCTTTCCTTCCCTCTAAAGCAGCCACTTCCTTTCATTTATTCATCACTCATCCTAAAAGTGGCTAGTGATTATGATTTTAGTATCACAATTACCACAAAAAATTGAAAATGTGGTAGTTCACAACATTAATTCACGTGTTTTCTACTCTACTACCTTAAGGGTACATTTTTTTTTTTAAGTGGTTTTGGTTAGTATCAGCTGGACAGTTAAATAGTTTTTTGTTTTTTTTTTTTTAATTTTTACATGTACACTGTAACTGTCTTCAGACACACCAGAAGAGAGCATTGGATTCCATTACAGATGGTTGTGAGCCACCATGTGGTTGCTGGGAATTGAACTCAGGACCTCTGGAAGAGTAGTCAGTGCTCTTAACCACTGAGCCATCTCTCCAGCCCTTAAGGGCACATCTTAAGACACTCTTGAGTGTCCAGCTCTTTGCTCTTTCTACATCAGTCACTAAAAAGCATTCATTATCATCTTTTTATGAGACCCTCGTCCTTGAGCAGACTAGTGCAATGGTGCTCAGACCTTAACTAGTATATGGACTAGATGGCACAATACTACTCCACACGCACAGACACTGTTCCTTAAGCTGATAAGCCAGTTAACACAGAAGGCATTAAGAGTATCAGACAAACAGCTATCAATAAACACAATGTTACTGGACAAACTAAAACAAACGTCCTACTGAGTTATTTTGTTAAACACTGTTTTATGTTTTTCTTTCCAAATCAATTTGAGAGAGAAAAGGGAAAGAGCTCAGGGTAGGTTGTTTGCCAACACATTTGAGGTCTTTTGTTCAATTCCCAACACACACACGCACACACACACACACTAAAGAGACAAGAGACAGAGAAAGAACAAGCATCAACTACATGGTATTTCTTAGCACTTATTTTCAAGACATGTTACTCAGCTCACATAGTGGTACACAAACGACATCATTCTAAAAGAATATACCTTTCTCTGGATACCTCATCTGGGATACCCAAGCAGATTTCTCGGTCAAACCTTCCTGCACGTCTCAAAGCAGGATCCAATGAGTCTGGCCGGTTAGTAGCTCCAACAACTAGGACCCGAGCTGTAGTTGCCATGTTATTTAGATCTAAGAACCAGATGTAAAAAGACAGAACAACACATCTGATATTTGAGGACAGCAATGCTTACACAAATGATTTAAAGATTGGAGAGAATTTGTGTACTCTTATATACAAATATTTATAAACATTGTTTACGTAACAAGTGTGAAGATAAACACTGCCTTTCTTACCAGCAATTTACCATCTACTGAGAACTATAAAGTGTCTAAGTAAGGAAACATAGTGTAGGTCACATTTCAAGAAGTTTAATAACAATTAGGATAAACTAAGTACTGCAACAGAGCAAGAGAGGGGACAATGGCAGCTTCAAGGAAAAAAAAAAAAAAAAAACCACTCAGGAAAGCCTAAAGGACTAGTATGGTTTCCAGGAGCAGAGATGGAAGTTAGCCAGGTTCTATAGAGAGCAGCAGCATGAGTGACAGCACACAGGGGCATGCCCAGACAACCTGAACAGCCCAGCAGTGGAGCCTGGGGAAGACAGCAATGGTGTCCCACAAGGACGGCCCAAGTGCTGCAGAGATGTCTCAGCGGTTAACACCTCTGACTACTCTTCCAGAGGCCCTGAGTTCAATTCCTAGCAACCACATGGTGGCTCACAACCACCTGTAATGGGGGCCAATGGCCTCTTCTTGTTTTAAAAAAAAAAAAAATGAGGAATTAAAAAAAAAAAAGGAACAGCCACTCTAGCTTAAGAAACAGATTTTTAGAAATGAGCAAAATACAGGGTTTAAATTTTGTCTTTCACAAATATTCTGTCAGTTAAACTAGAATTAAATAGGAAAGAGTCTAGGTTATACTGCCTCATAGGAATAACATGGTATTCAAATGCTAAGTACAATATAAATAATGATTATCTGATTAGGAAGAATCGATGAAAAGCTTTTATAGTATATAGGCCTCAAAAACAGGACAGAAAAAAACTGAGATAAAAACAAAATAGCATTGGGCACTGGGGTGTAATTCAGTAATAGATAGCTTACAGAGCATACACCAGGTTTCAGTTTCAATCCCTGACACAAAAGGTTAAGTGCAACAAGTAATTTACAATTGGGAGCCATAAGAAACTTGCCGTGTGTGTGTGTGTGTGTGTGTGTGTGTGTGTGTGTGTGTGTGTGTGTGTGTATGTGTGTATAGTTAGTTAGTTATGTAATGTTTCAAATTAACTTTCCTTTGTATTTTGTTTCGAGACAGGTTCTCACTCTGTAGACCAGGCTGGGCCTGAAATCACTATGTAACCCAGTCCAGCTACAATTCATGTCAATTATTCTGTCCTAGCATATGTGTTTGGATAATACATTACAGGAGTATGACAATACAACATGTGCTATTTCTTTCTTTTTTTGTTTTTGGTTTCATGACATATTCTGGCTGGCCTATAACTCATTATATAGCCCAGGTTGGCCTCAAAGTCTATAGAGAAAACACTGGTTCAATCCCCAAAACCCACATTAAAAAAAAAAATGCATTCAGCGTGGCAGACTTGTAATCCCAGTGCTGAGGAAGTGGAGACAGGATGATCCCTGGAGCTCACTGGTCAGCTAGCCTAGCCTATTCAGTAAGTAAGCACCAAGCCAATTCAATTAATGGTGTTTCTAAAGAATTCATGGTGGCGCACGCCTTTAATCCCAGCACTTGGGAGGCAGAGGCAGGCGGATTTCTGAGTTCGAGGCCAGCCTGGTCTACAGAGTGAGTTCCAGGACAGCCAGGACTACACAGAGAAACCCTGTCTCGAAAAAACCAAAAGAATGCTACCTGAGGTTGACCTCTGGCCTCCCTCCCCACATACACATGTACACTCACACACAGATACACCCACATAAAACATACATACATACATACAAACACACACAAACAGTACAATACAATTTGAAATGAATGGAAAATCCTGTTTTATGAGATTCACTATTTAAGTGATTCATACATACATGTATGACTTGCATTATTTTAAGAAATATATTATCGTAAAATGAATTCATTATTTACCATCCATGCAGGTTAGAAGCTGGGCTACAATCCTTCGTTCCATATCTTTTGAAGCAACTTCTCTTTTGGGGGTAATTGCATCAATTTCATCAATGAAAACAATACATGGTGCATTTGACTAGAAATAAAAATACCAAAAAATACATATATAAAAACTATAAAATAAATTTCCTATATTGGTGCATAATGTTTATGTATTCTTTTGATTTTTAAAACTAAGAGATTTAGTCACCAAAAGAATAACCATGAACAAGGCAGTTCAAAATAATGCTTCTGATTGTTATCAGAGAACCAGATGCTTAAATAGAAATGAGTGTGATTTATGAAATAATCTTCTCAAACTGTTCTGTAATTAGGCATATTTGTATGCTACAGAATATAAGCAGTAAATTTAAAAGTTCTCAACTAAGCATAGTAGCACATAATAAGAATTCTGGTACTTGGAAAGATCAAGACGCTGGGCAGTGGTGGCACGTCTTTAATCCCAGCACTTGGGAGGCAGAGGCAGGCGGATTTCTGAGTTCGAGGCCAGCCTGGTGTACAGCGTTAGTTCCAGGACAGTCAGGGCTATACAGAGAAACCCTGCCTCAAAAAACTTAAAAAAAAAAAAAGAAAAAAAAAGAAAGGAAAGATCAAGACAAGACTTCAAGGATTTTCTAGGCAACTTTTCTAGTTCCAAGCCAGACTGAGACTCTAACTCAAACTGACAAACAGCAACAAAGAGACTAACATGTCGGCATACACACACGCACTAAGGATTAAGTGAAAAACAGAAACCTAGGCTTACAATCCAAATCTTTCTTAGTCCCTCCATAGTCAAAATAGTAACATTTATTGTGCTAAAAGTCACATACTGTCAGTTCAAAATGACACCAAGTAACAGATACTTGGCCCATCACTACTGGCTCTTTTTGCCAAATCTTCCTCTTGGCAATGTTTGCAAAGAGCACCTATGATTGCTAGATCAGTAGTACAGAGCAAAGGTCTCAGAAAATAAACCCATTCTTTTCCATCAGTGACCTGGAAAACTCAATGGGAAAAAATAAGTGATGATAATCAGACCTTAGCCTAAGGAGGGGTAACGTGAGAAAACAACTTCCTAGCCTGACAAGGTTCTGTTATCCACTTGGATTAGGGAGTGAGTGGCAGAAAATGAAGGTGTAAAACCACATGCTTACTTGACACCTGCATCAGCAGTATTTGCACAGCACTGCTTTACAGGGAAATGTGACTTGAACCCATGACCTAAGTATGCCGCTTTGCATCCATGTTTGCCATCTGTTCACCATACGTACAAACATGGTCTCAGTGAGAAAAGCCCCCATGCTAAACAGTGAGACTTTCAAAAATTAATAACCACTCTTATAATTTACACTTATTATAAGTATATAGTTACTTAGTAATATTACTGCTAAAATACATTTTTCTCCTTATTTCACATCAGCTTCGGGTAGTTTAAATGGTTATGTTTATGAGCAATTATGTGCTTTAGATGCAAATAAAGACATAAAATTAAAACCAGCATGGTGGCATTCAACTGTAACTTCAACAACTGGGTAGAAATAGGAGGATCAACGGTTCAAAGTCATCCTCAGCGACACAAGAAGTTTGAGTCCAGACTGGGTTACATAAAACCCTGTCTGAAAGGAGTAGGTAAGGAAGGAACGTGACACAAAGACTTTTCATCATTATTTAGTTTTAGTTCAGTGGTGATCCATGTCTGCTCAAGTGCAAATGTCACAATTAACAGGACTCTTGCTATGTACTAGATACAATGTTAAAGGGTTTAAAATAATTCTTTTAACTGGGCATGGTGGTGTATACCTTTAATCACAGCACTTGGGAGACTGAGGTTAGAAGGTTGGTTGTCAGGAATTTAAGGCAGGCTAGACAACATAGCAACACATCATCCAAAAATAAAAAAAATAAATCTTCTGATTTAAATCCTCAGTGACCCTATGAGAACTGGGTATTTTATCATCACAGGTTGTTATGAAATAGAAAAAGACTCTTGCCATCACATTAATGTGACAACACTGAACTGGTCCTCAACTTTTTCAATGAGAAGGCAGACATTTAACCACCATACTATGCTGAAGATATTACTTTAGCTGGATTCCAATATCCTCTTCTAAATTGTATAACAGAAACTGTAGACAGGTATAATCTCTCTCTCTGGTAAGAGAGTTTTCTTTTCACCCCTCTTATCATATAAACAGCACTTATCCTGAGTCTTACAGTGCTTGCATAATTCTAAGTATTCTTATGGTCTTTGCAAGTTGTTCAGACATAAGCTGGAGAAAAAAAGTAAATGAAGCATCTCCAGGACAGTATGTTCTGAACACTTAACTCTGGGTATGACAACCCAAAGCTTGTCAGTATAAGCTTGTCACCTATATACTTGATTTCATGTGAAACATTACACAGCCAAGAGTCTATACCATTAAATTCACTTTAAATTTACCACTAAACATTTTTACAAAAGGAAGGTCAGTGAGCAGGATAAAGAATTCTAGCATCAGAAAAGTAAACTCGGGCTGGAGAGATGGCTCAGGGGTTAAGAGCACTGACTGTTCTTCCAGAGGTCCTGAGTTCAATTCCCAGCAACCACATGGTGGCTCACAACCATCTGTAATGGGATCTGATGCCCTCTTCTGGTATGTCTGAAGACAGTTACAGTGTACTCAAATAAATAAATAAATAAATAAACAAATAAATAAACCTTTAAAAAAAAAAAAAGAAAAGTAAACTCTACTGAAAAGCTGGTATAAGCAATAGCTGACTCACCACAGCCTGGTCAAATAAATCTCTGAGCTTTTGCTCAGACTCTCCAGAAACTCCTGACACAATCTCTGGAGCAGCCACTTTCAGAATCGGCAAGTCAAGTTCCTATGCACAAATACAGGAAAGAATGACTAAAGGTTAAATAAAATTTAAGTTCCCCACATTCTTCTTATCTAATCTGTCCCACCAAAATTAGGGAGTTTTTTTTTTTAAAGTTTCTAAAAAACATTTATTATTTATTATGCATCCATTCATGTATGTGTGCAGGCATGTTTGTGCCATTGTGTACACATGGAGGTCAGAGGAAAACCTGTCAAAATTAGTTCTCTTATTCCGCCTTGTTTGTTTCCTGTTTCAATAGAGAGTCACCAAGCATAGTGGAAAGCAACTTTACCCACTGAACCATCTTTCTGGCCTCTACAATTTCCTAAGAAATTTCATTTTTGTATGTGAGTTCAATGACAAACACTATTTAAATGTATGGAGAGATAGCTCAGCAGTTAAGAGCACTGACATGGCAGCTTACAATGATCTATAACTCCAGCTCCAGGGAATCCTATGCTCTCTTATGACTTCCATGGACACCAGATATGCATATGGTACATAGACATACATGCAGACAAAATACCCACAAATATAACACAATAAACAATTTTTTAAAAAAAGAAAAGAAAATCAGCTGAGCGGTGGTGGCGCACAACTTTGATCACCTCCCCGCACTCAGGAGGCAGAAGCAGTTGGATTTCTGAGTTCAAGGCTAGTATAGTCTAAAGACAGAGTTCAGGGACAGCCAGGGCTAGAGAGAAACCCTGTCTCAAACAAACAAACAAACAAACAAACAAGTCTATGGATTTAGTCACCAGTTGTGGTGGCTTACACTTGTAATATCAGCACTTGGGAGACTAAAGCTTTGAGTTCAAGGTTGGTTGGGCAAACAGTGTGAGACCCTGACTTTAAAGAAACCTAGGTATTTACTCAAACATGAAAATGCAAATGTTGCATTTGTGGCTATAAGACAAATTTATTTTTAAAAAGACAAATCCAGTTGCCCTTAAAAAGTAAGTTTGTTCTATTAATGACTAGAATAATATGCTATTCTGCTAGTTAAAGTTCCTTGGACTATTTTACACTTTATCATGAAATAAGTCTCCAAAAAATTTGATAGGACAAAATCAGGACTGCTAGCTGTTTACTTTGCAAAATAAGTGGTTTTTTTTTTTTTAATGTTTGTGGGTTCAGAAGTAGGTGTGTGTGGTTGATACAAGAAGAAATATACAAAGTTTAAAGCCAAGGATAGCTTTAAACTTACAATCCTGCCATAGTCCAAGCAATACTGGACTTTCAAGTGTGTACTACAAACCTAACTGATCTATTTTAGAAGGGTATTTTGACAGTGGAAATTTTAAATAAATTTAGCTCCAAGAGAAAAACCATTCTTTTGCATGTTTTGCTGATTTTAAGAATGACTAGGATAGCCAAGCAATGGTGGCGCATGCCTTTAATCCTAGCACTTGGGAGGCAGAGGCAGGCGGATTTCTGAGTTCGAGGCCAGCCTGGTCTACAGAGTGAGTTCCAGGACAGCCAGAGATACACAGAGAAACCCTGTCTCGAAAAACCTTTAAAAAAAAAAAGACTAGGATAAAAGAGAATAGCTACAATGTAAACTAAATGTTTATAGAGTTTTTACACTGTTTTGCTTCCTATCCAATTTGTCACAGACACAATAACTGCATTCATTAACCACCACCACCACCAGCATAAGCAGCAGCATGAAAAAGTAAATGAAGGAAAGCTGGAGCTCCATCTGTATAATGTGTGGGGCAGCATGAGAACCTGCGTCTGGAAATACAGTGCTGATGTAAAAGCCAGGCAGTGAGCTCCACATCTTTAACCTGAGCACAGGTAGACTGAAGGATGACCCCTGGAATTTGCTAGGTTTCAGGCCCAGCCAAATCAAGTGTGATACAGGTGCAAACAGAAACCCTTGTCTCAAAACAACAAAAAGACAATGAGGAAAATGATGGGGGAGGAAGAAAGAGAAGAGGAGGGAGAAGGGGAATCTCTTACGGATTAAATTTGCTTACTAAAGAGATACCAGGTCTAACTGGAATTGACCAAAGAGAAAAACAAAACAACAATAATAACTAGAAATCCAGCCGCAACTAGCCTCACCCCAGCTATTGCATGTGCAAGTAATGTCTTCCCACAGCCTGGTGGCCCATGCAGGAGAACACCACGAGGAGGCACGACACCAAGGTGCTGGTATACCTCTGGGTGACGCATGTGTATGAGCATCTTGCAGACTTCCTGTCAAGGAATAAGCATAAAAGATGTCATCCTCAGCCCAAGAAACAAAGAGTCAAAGTAGAATGAAATGCCCCTATTTTTTGGAACACCAAAATATACTAGACAGAAGACAGCCAGGCTTAGGCTGTGACTTGAGCTGAATCCCAGCGTTGTACACTATGTAAATAACTTCTGTGACATCTCCATGCTTCTACTGCCTAAGCTATAAAAGTATCTCTCATAAAATACAGTGACTATAAAAGAGAAGACACTAGAAAGCTGCCATGAGCATTATTAATGTCATTATCGTTAGCACTGTCAGAACACTGTAACTTACAAAACATGTACTTCACAAACACTATAACTAAAGACGTAAAAAGACAGGAAGCTTCATTTTCTTTTGGTACTCTGAAGGGTCAGATTTGTTCACCTCACCGTCCTAGTATTTTTTCTATACTTATTTCACATTAAAAACCAAAGGACTGGAGAGGTGGCCCAGGGGTGAAGAAGAGCACTGGCTGCTTTTACAGAGAATCTGGGATCATTTCCTAACATATACATGGTGGCTCACAACCATCTGTTAACACCAGTTCCAGTGAATCTGACCTTTTCTAACCTGAGGGCACTAGGCATGGAATGGGTACACAAACATACATGCCAGTAGAACACCTATATACATAAAATATGTTTTAATTTAAATTAAAAATAAGAGCCGGGCAGTGGTGGTGCACGCCTTTAATCCCAGCACTTGGGAGGCAGAGGCAGGCGGATTTCTGAGTTCAAGGCCAGCCTGGTCTTCAGAGTGAGTTCCAGAACAGCCAGGGCTATACAGAGAAACCCTATCTCGAAAAAACAAAAATAAATAAATAAAGGTAGGCTTTTTAGTGTAAATATTTAACAATATACACATTTCATGTAATACCATTTCTCAGTTGGCACTAACTTTTAATGTTGCATCATTGCCTCCAACATCTTCAAACTTCACATTGGAAATCTGCAACTCTGTACTCCTTGCTTTAGCTGTTAAACAAAAAAGGTAAAAAGAGTAGTGATTCCAGACAAACATACAACTAAAGCACCATTAGACAAAAAATGTTTTCAACTAGGTTTTTCCATACACAAATAGTTCTCAAATAAAACAACTCAAACTAGTCACCCCTCTCTCAAAGCAAACACACCACTGCTATCTACAGCTTACCCTTCTTTTGCAGAACAGCTTCGATTTCTCCATCTACTTCTTCAAGATCCTCTGTCTTTCTTTTGTTTCCTTTGTTCTTTGTCCTACCTTTCCTTTTCTTATCACTTTCCAGAAGAGAAGAGTCTTTTAAATTCTGGGGAGAAAATACAAAAATTCTGTACTTAAAATGATAATGCTAACAGGCGGTTTTCAAAGACAGCTATGTCCGTTCGTGCTCCAGCACTACTAACTACTTGCAATCTCTTTGCTCAAGGATGCTGTCTTCTTTCAGAAACCTAAAAGCTTAGATTGTTTATTTGATAATATTTTCTCGGCTCTGCCAGTTAATCTTTTCTAAAAGACTTAAAGCACATATATAAACATCAGGATCTTACCAATTATAATAATGCTCTTGATTAGTTAAATACTTACAGCTTAAAACAAAGATATTGGGGAATAACCCACTAATAGCGTAAAAGGAAAACTCGTAACCCCAATACTTTGGAGTAAAAACAGAAGAATCAGAATGGTATTTTTAGCTACATAACAATTTCAAAGTTGGACTAGGCTACAAAAGACTCTATTTCAAAATCGAAAATCAGCCGGGCAGTGGTGGTACACGCCTTTAATCCCAGCACTTGGGAGGCAGAGGCAGGTGGATTTCTGAGTTCGAGGCCAGCCTGGTCTACAGAGTGAGTTCCAGGACAGCTAGGGCTACACAGAGAAACCCTGTCTCGAAAAGCCAAAAAAAAAAAAAAAAAAAAAATCGAAAATCAAAACAAATAGGGCTCAGGCTATAAAGTATCATAAAATCATGAGGTCTGAATTCAGACCCCAACTCACTCATACATGAAAAGGTGTGTGCAATGGAGTAGGTCTGTTACACCAGTGCTGGCAAGGCAAAAACAAGAGGATCCCTATAGCTTGCTGGTCAGCCAGCATAGCAGATATTTTGAGATCACAGACATCCCCTTCTACGTGTGTGCTTTAGGTTTATTCTGTTGTTGTTACAGGGTTTCACTGAGTATCCCTGGCTGTCCTGGAATTCACTCTGAAACCAGGGTAGCCTTGAAACTCAGGCATGAGTTACCATTGACAAGCTTGAGTTTTCTTTCTCAAAGAAAAGGTAGAGAGCAATTGAAAAAGACATCTGACATTGATTCTGGTATGTTACCCCACACATGTATTTGCACATAAACATGCATGTGCGAACGCACACACATATGAAAGAATTTGCCAAATCAAGGCTTGGTGCTTAGAAACTAATTATAGCAGCACTGTTCAGGAAAAAATACATCACAAGTCAAACATTCTATATATTCTAATTATATATTAATGTGTGTACCCCATTGCGCTAATAAAATACACACTTAAATGTAGAAAAAAAATGCATTTGATAATCTCTTTTCTTGGGTGCAAACTACTGAACCCAGAGCCTTACATATTGTATTCTAAGCACTAAACAAACCACTGAGCCACACTCATCTACCAATAAATCTATTTTAATTAACACATCCCAAACACTCTTTCAACATAGTTAATACCAAAAGTTACTCATGAGCTGGGGTAGTGATACACACTTAGAATCCCAGCACTCAGGAGGCAGAAGTAGAACTGTCTCAAATTTAAGGCCAGCTTAATCTACAGGACAAGTTTCAAGGCAACCTTCAACAAGTCTAAAAACAAGTTGCTAATGAGATTTTTTTTTTTTTGAGACAAGGATGTAGCTGATAATTTTGGATTTTTGTTTTCTTTGAAAAAAAAACAGAAATATTATGGAAATATGTTTGTTTTAATCCTAGGTGTGGGATACTGGGCTGCTTCAGTTTGTCCACAACAGCTGACTATGATTTGCCTTATCTTCTAACAGGGGTGTGATTTTGCCAGCAGCAGATTTTGAGATAGTGTTGACATTTGGAATTCTGGGCACTTTTCAGAGAGCATATAAACGCTAGGGCCAGAAAGAGAAACGATGGGTTATTGGTTGTTTGCTATTAGTTGTGGTTTGTTAAGTAGTCCTGTGCAAAGAAAGAAGAAATTAGATATCCTGATAGCAAAGATCAAACTTGCCCCAAGGAATCAGTTGCCCCTAATCAGCAGAAAGCAGTCTAGAAAAAAGAACCCACAAAGTAGTCAAAGTAGCAAAAAAAAGACAGCTACACAGGGTTTCTGTGTGCAGCCTTGTCTGTCCTTGAACTTGTCCTATAGACTAGGCTGGCCTTGTCTCTGCTTCCCAAGTGCCAGGATGAAAGGTGGTTTCCACCATTGCCAAGGACTAATGATATTTTATATTGTGCTTTTAATTAACTCTTCACATGCCAAAATATACTGAAAATTTATAGCACATCCCAATTTGGACACAAAATTTTCAGGGGTAATATATGACTTGGATTTTGCAAAATTTATACTTGAAAAAGTTAATTCCTACATCTAATTGTTTCAAATATATTTTGAGGTTTTCCAAAAACCAAGTATTGAATTTACATTTCAATGGAAAAGCTAGTTCCTTAGTTGCACTACCAATAGTTCAAGTGCAATGAAAACACAGGAAAACCCTAAATGATACACAATGTACAGTTAGGATATATTAGTATAAAGCCTCATTTGCTTGGCTATAAATTTACTTTAATCAGTTAAGGGAGATAATCAATATGTTCATTTTGTGATACCATAGTAAGCTATACACACACTATGTGTATGTGTTGGGATCGTATTTGTGTCCTTACATATATACATATATATGTATACATACATACATACATACATATACACACACACACACACACACACACACACACGAGTGTGTGGAGAACGAAGGTCAACATCTAGTGTCGTCTTCAATTGTTTTCCACCTTTTGTTTTTTGAGACAGGATCTCTCCATGTAGACCATGCTAGTCTTGACCATACAGAAACCCATCAGGTTCTACCTCCCCAGTGCTGAGACTAAAGACATGTGCCACTTACGCCGGCAGTGGTGGCGCACGCCTTTAATCCCAGCACTTGGGAGGCAGAGGCAGGTGGATTTCTGAGTTCGAGGCCAGCCTGGCCTACAGAGTGAGCTCCAGGACAGCCAGGGCTACACAGAGAAACCCTGTCTTGAAAAGAACCAAAACAAAAAAAAGACATGTGCCACTCACTGAACCTCACTCCACCCTATTTTCTGTGACAGGATCTCTCGATAAACCTACAGTTTGCCCATTTGGCTAGATTAGCTGGCCAACCAATCCCAGTCTTTCAGTGCTGGGAATACAGACATGTGGTATTGTACCCAGTTTTTATATGGGTGGTAGGAATTGAACTCAGGTCTCTATGCTTGCATTACAAGCACTTTACTAACTAGATATTTCCCAAGCTCCATTTTTGACTTGAGACAGGGTATCATATAGCTCAGGACAGCCTCAGACTTGCTATACAGAAGTAGATAACCTTGAGCCCCTAAGCCTTTGCCTCTATCTCCCAAGCACTGAGATTACAGTTTTGCAGCAACCACCTAACTTCAATTTTAAAAGGTTTTCTTGAAAATCTGGTTTTTAAATGTATTTGCCTATTCTACACATTTTATTTCTTAAGGTATTATTCTCAACTGGACATAAATTACCTTGCCATTTTAGCAGCTTCCTTCTTCAAGAACTGAATCTATTAATTCTATCCCCAAAGAGGATAGTCCTTAATTCCTAAGTAACTGTGTCTCCACAAGTTCATCTGGCACTACAAATTCAACACTGTGTTAGACAACTTCAGCCAGAAACATATTACTCAACAAAACAAAGTCCTTGCTCCCCAGGAGCTTCCATTCTAGTGAAGGAAAACTGTGAGTTTTGAGACACAGAAACAATACCCAAATAAGCTGGGTGACCATGAGAACATGATGGTGAGAAAAAAAACCTAGGAAAACAGCAGTCATAGCACATTGTAACTTTCCATGGTATGAAAGGGTCTCTAAAGAGATAACAAAAGAAGGTGATATAAAGGAGTCTGCAGAGTGCTCTAGCTAGAAAGCTCAGGCCTTAAGATCCTGGGGAACGAGGAGGTGTAGGGAAGACAGACTAGCTAGCTAGCTTAGTGTTATAGATACAGCAAGAACTTGCTGTCACTGAGGAAGGGAAGTGGGCAAACAATGACACCAAGAAACAGCAGGGTAACCAAATCATAAAGGGCTTCGTGGGCTTTTGATATGAGACTGAACAACGCCACTAAAGGATTGAAATATTTCAATGGTATTGTGGCTTGGGTATGAAGCCCCCCAACCCCCCAGGCTCATATAGGACGACTAGTCTCCAGGTGGTGACTGGATCATGAGGGTACTAGGTTCCTTAATGGACTGTTCCACTTATGAGTTCATAGCTGAACAGTATTAGGAGGTGGAATCAAACTAGCAGAAAAGGGTCACTGCAGAGTGGCAGATGTAACTGAAACAAATCCTGCAACTGTGGTCCCTTCTTATCACTGCTTCATGGTTTGCTGAGTGAGTAGCTCTGCTCTACAATGCTCTGTTCACCATGCTGTTCACCTCTCAGGGGAGAAGAACACTAAGTTAGCCATTTAGGTCCTTCCTCCTTTAAACTGTTGCCTACTGCTAGTAAGTATGACACAAGTGACAGTGATCCAGTAAGTCACAAAAAGATATCTACATGTGAAAAATGGAGTAGAGGAGCAAATGCAGATCACACTTGGAAATCTACTCAACAGTCAAGGCAATAAAGATGCTGGACTACAGCAATGACAAAAGTAGTCAACAGTGATGACGTTTTCTGTGTACTTCCAGGTATTTGTGACTTTTTTTTTTTTTTTTTTGGTTTGGTTTTTCGAGACAGGGTTTTTTACTTCTTTTTTTTTTTTTTTTTTGGTGATGTTTTAAAAACAAGAGTGTAAGTACCTGTTTGATACTACATTCAGTAAAAAGACTGCAATATACTCCAACTACATGGAACTAACTTTCACTATAAAAATACCTGAATCTCAGCATCCTGCTTTTTATACTGGCTTTGGTCATCTGATAGGTCCAAGGGAAGACTTTCTTTCTTTCCACCTGGGGTTTTGTCAATAAACCATCCTCCCTCAGATTCTCGGGCAGGAGTCTTCAATGGCATGGAGTCCGTTTTAGAAGTCAGCAATGGTGTTGAAGTGGCGGCTTCTCTCTGTTCCAACTTCGGAGACGTTGAAACAGAATCAGAGTTTCCTTTCCGATACAAAGAGAGCAGGGAACTGTTCATGTGATTTGCTGACTGACAGAAACATGATTTCAGTGTAAGTTACTCAAGAAGTCTTGAAGCTCCAGTACCTAAACTAAAAAGCTTCCTGTATTTTGTTTTAAATAACTTTTCTCACAACATTTCTTTTTTTTTTTTTTTTTTTTTTTGGTTTTTCAAGACAGGGTTTCTCTGTATAGTCCTGGCTGTCCTGGAACTCACTCTGTAGACCAGGCTGGCCTCGAACTCAGAAATCCACCTGCCTCTGCGTCCCAAGTGCTGAGATTAAAGGCGTGCTCCACCACTGCCCGGCAACAACATTTCTATTTAAAATTCATAGGTTGTCAGTTAGATAACCCCCAAACAAACTTTTACTATCTGAAACTACTATAACCACTCTTGGCTAACAGAGAACCAGGCCGATCCATAACTGGTGATCAAAGAAAACCAAGAGGTATGAAAATGAACTGATAATCAGTGAGTCACTACTCTCTCAATTCAATACTGGATCAAATATAATGGAGTACTGTAATCACTTTGTTAATAATTCAAAGCCTCATTTACCAAGGAGGAAAAACTAAGAAGCTACCTATAAGTAACCTGATGCATTTCTGATGTATCTTTTTAGTTAGGCCCGTCATTAGTGATGCTACTTCCCTGGCAAGAATTATGGTCATTTCCTCCTTTTTTGGTTTTTGAATCAGAGACTCATTACATAGGACTGGCTGGCCTAGAACTTGCTACGTAGAACAGGCTAGCCTAATACTCAGAAATCTGCTTGCTTCTGCCTCCCAAGTGCTGATATTAAAGGTCACACAAACCTGTTGAGGTTTCTTTTTATTATCTCCCTTAATATTCTAGTCTGCCTTTAGTTTTGCCCATTGTTTTTCCTGCTTTTTCTTTATGTAACTGATTATACAAATATAAGCACTGGAAGAATAATTAAATCATCAGTGGCGTGTATAGAAAGCATTCAATTATATATTGATATAGATGGACACAGTTCTTTATTCTATTTTTGGTTTGTTTGTTTGTTTTCTAAAAGACGATCTTAAACAATGAGAAAAAACTGGCGCTGGGGAGATGGCTCAGCAGTTAAGAACACTGGCTGCTCTTGAAGCAAACCACAGTTCAGTTCACAGGACCCACACGGTAGCCCCCAGTTCTCCAGTATGCCTCTATCTGACCTCAGGTACCAGATGTGCATAGTGCATATGGTGCACATATATACATATACAAGTAAAACAGGAATACACATAAAATAAAAAAAATCTAAAAAGGAAGAAATCGGGGCTGGAGAGATGGCTCGGCAGTTAAGACTGCTCTTCCAGGGGTCCTGAGTTCAATTCCCAACAACACACATGATTATTCACAACCATCTGTAATGGGATCTAATGCCCTCTTCTGGTGTGTCTGAAGACAGCAACAGTGTACTCATATGCATAAAATAAATAAAATTAAAAAAAGAAAGAAAGAAATCAAAGTGGGCTTGTTGTGGATAGCCCCAGCCTTGTATTTTGATACTAATTCCCCTTTCCTGTGAAGGGCTGCAGAGGAGGAGTGAGTCATTACACAGGTGAATTCTAGTGAACCTTCTGCTCATCTTAATTTGTAAAATAAAGGCTGGAGCCAGTGATTGGGCAGAGGAAGGGGCGGTGGAGAAATAAAGGTTGGTGGGAGAGAGCAGAGGAGAAGACTGGAGCAAGACAATGGAGGAAGATGACGAAGGAGTGTATGACTGGGAAACAGGAGGTCGAAGGACAGATGCAGGGTCTGGAAAATCCTTGAGTTATAAGGGTCTCCTAGCTGGGGAACAGAGTAGTGCAGGGCTATCTGCCCAGTCTAGGCCTATAGAACATATTCATAATTACTGAGTCGTGTTCTCATTGACCGGTCCTATTCAGGTTGGAGATTTAAATATCACCCACTACATGGGCTCACTGAATGTTTGTCTTACCTGTGGATCTGGGTAATCTTCCATGTTTGAATCATCATCAGAAGAGCTTTCAGTGTACCTCAGAATTAGAGAGAAACAAATAAAGAAAAAATATTTTCAAGTCCTTTCTCTGATAGCCTAAAAAATTACTATGCCAAACAAGTCGATATATTAAGGTAAAACACCGGTTATGAGTCCAAGGGCTGAGAGCTGACAAGACATCTTGGCAGTTAACAGAACTTGCTGCTCTTACAGAAGAACAGACTTGGTTCCTATCACATGACCTTTAACTCCAGCTCACAAGGTAATACAACAGAGTACATGACTTCAGTGCCACATGAGAAAAAGATTACAGTAAATCTCTATAACTAGATGCTAAAAAAAACACTTGGAAGGGACCTAAGAAGGAGCAAGAAACATTGACATCTTCACTGACTTTTTTACATGGCTGAGTGGGATGTATGAAACAGAAATGAATACTCAAGTTACTGAAGAGCACAGTCAAAATGCTTTAGGGACTACAGAGCAATCAATATGGCTGGAGGAAACAAAAGGTAAGGCAGGAAGTATTTAGCACAGTTGCACTGCTGGCCAAGAAGAGCCACTGAACGTATTCTCAGTATGAATGTGGAACTCTAGGAAAAAAAGCTCTGTAATACTTACTCGTCCTCTTCAGCTTGTCTTGCTCTTTTTGCCAGATGTCCATCTTCTAAATCTTTGAGATTCTTAAGTTGTTTCTCACTACTAATTATGCTAAATACTGAAACAAGTAAATAATAAAATGCCAAGTTAAAATAACTATTTCTTTGACTGTTGATAATTGCACTCAAACAGTGAAAGACTCACCTTTATCTACCTGAATCCTAAAAGCATTTCTTTTTCTTCGACCATAATCTACACTGGGAAAAAAAAAATAATTTTAGCACACAGTTTTCATAAATATTTTCTACTAAATATTATTGGTTATACTGGTAAACTGGCATGTGCTACTCTGAGACCAAAATGGGGTCCCCTGTCTCAGACTCAAGACAGGAAAGGTCTTCTCACCCTGGCTAGCTTGGAGTTTGCTAAGAAATCTATCTGCTTCCTGAGTTCTGTGATTAAGTGGTCTTACAATCCAACTACATGACTTTTTTTGTTTTGTTTTTGAAGTTTGAGACAATGTTACTAAGTAGCTCAGGCTTGACTCAAACTCAGGATTCTAAGGAAGTAGGGAGATTATAGGTATAGGCCACTATGTCCAGCTGACACTGACATTTTAGAAGGAAATAAGTCGGCTAATTTTTTAAATATTCATTATCTAGACTTATCTCACATTTCTTCATATTAAATTCAAGTTCAAACATTTGTATGCTAAGGATAGTACACAAAAGTTTCATGAACAGTAATATTTCTGTCTTTCTTTCTTTTGGAGAAAAGGTCCTGGCTCTCACAGAAAATCTGCCTGCCTCTGCCTGAGTGCTAGGATTAAAGACAGCCAACACCATGCATGCCTTTAAAGAATATAAATTACTCATATGGGGTATTTTCGAGAATACCTGTAACCCCAGAACTCAGAAGGTAGAAGCAAATGGATGGATCTCAGTGAGTTTAAAGATAGCCTGATCTACATAGCAAGTTATAAGTCAGCCATAACTACATAATGAGACTCTGTCTCAAAAACAAAACGAATTCAACCTCTAAACTCATACAGTAAAAGGAGACAACTGACTCCTACAAAGTTTCCTTGACTTTGCAGGTGTGCCATGGCACATGTGTGTGTGTGTGTCTTTGTCTCTCTCTGACTCTAACTCTCTCTGACTCTCTCTCTCTCTCTCTCTCACACACACACACACACACACACGCACACGCACACACACAGAAAATGTAATTTTAAGAATTTTCAGATACTTGGGGCTAAGATGGCTCAGTAGATAAAGTGCTTGCTGTGCAAGTGTAAGGACCTGAGTTAGACTCTCCAAGACAGGTACTGGGAAACAAAGTAGTGACTGAATTCCCAGAAACTGGCAGGCCAGGTAGCCTGGAGTATAAAAGTGAGAGTTGGAGAGATGTCTCAGCAGTTTATAGCATTGTCTGCTCTTCCACATGATCTGGGTTCAAATTCTAGTACCCACATGGCAGCTCAAAACTGTCTATTAACTCCAGTTCCAGGAGATCTGACATCAGACACCTGGTGCCTGCTGACACCACAGATGTGGTACACAAACATGCACTAAAGTAGACACAAGTACACAGATACACATAGTATACTTAAAAGACAAACACAAGGCCAGGTGCATGCCTTTAATTTCATCACTCAGCAGAGGCAGGGGCAAGCAGATCTCTGAGCTTGGGGGTAGCCTGCTCTATCTATAGAGAATTCCACAGCAGCCAGGACTACACAGAGAAACTCTGTCGGGGGCAGCAGGAAGAAAACACAGTACAGGACAAAATAAAACTTGAGGGGGGGACACAGAGGGAGGTGTGGCACAAAACAACTCAAACGAAGAGTACTGCCAAGATGTGTGTGAATATGTACACACAACCAGGGAGAAACAAAACAGGTACTTAGTTGTTTTAAGTGAAGACCATAAAGCTGTGATACTTTTATTAAGCAATCATATTCAAGTGGAAAAAACAGAACTAATTTTTTAAAGGCCTAAGAATTTATAGAGCATAACATAAACATAGCATTTGGGGGCTGAGAAATGGCTCTGCAGTTAAGAGCACATTCTGTTCTTGCAGAGGATCCAGATTTGGTCTCCAGCACCCTCACAGCAGCTCACAACTGCCCGTAATTTTCTTATAGGGTATGTGATGCTCTCTCTACAACCAGACTCAGGCTTTTATTGCCAATCTTAACTACAGTCTGAAGCCATTTTGTGCCTCAACTATATTAAAGCGAATAAAACAAAGCTTCCTCAATAAATCTTTTCACCAGAATCAATCTTGTCCACTATTAATAGCACTCTACTCTTATAGTAGAGACAATGCAGCTGATAGGAAGCCTGCCAGACACATGAAACCATGACGCTTCCACTGGAAAGCAGTTCAGAATTAGAGATGTAGTTCAGTTGGGAGAATGCTTGTCTAGTGAGTTCAATTTCAAACATAAAAAAAAAAAAATCAGGTATGCCTGTAATTCCAGCACCTGAAATAAAGGCAAGACCATTCAAAGTCACCCTGGGCTACAAGTTTTGGGGACAATTGGGCTGTTTGAGACCTGCTCTTAACAACAACACAAAAAGCTGGAGGCAGGGGCTGGAGAGATGGCTCAGTGGTTAAGAGTACTGATTGTTCTTCCAGAGGTCCCAAATTCAGTTCCCAGCAACCACATGGTTGGTCACAACCATCTGTAATGGGATCCAATGCCTTCTTCTGGTATGTCTGAAGACAGCTACAGTGTACTCATATAAATATAATATATATATATAATATATATATATTTATATATATATATATATATATATATATATATATTATATATATATATTATATATATATATAAAAGATGGGGCAGAAGCAGGCATATCACTGTAAGATGGAAGCCAGCCTGGTCTAAAAAGTGAGTCCAAGCTTAACTAAGGCAATAACGTGAGGTTCCATTTCAAAAAAATAAAAAAGAAAGCAACTGAAAAAAGTACCACTGACACAAATGAAGGCATTAACAGCTAAAAAATGGAAGTTGGTCAGGCTAAATAAATGTGCTCTGAAGACATCCCTTCAACGACTATGGTTAGCATAGGTTTGAAGAGTGGTTTTCAATGGTGGTGGCAGTGACCTACCTAGAGGGTACTATGAACTTGTGAGGGGCATTTTACATGGTCACAAAGATTTAAGAGTATTAAGAGATTCAGTATGTGAGAATACAGATACTGGATATTCTTGCTCATATATAACAATCCCACCTAAGAAATCTACTATTCCTTTAAGACTCTCAATTGTTAAGTCATTCATTCATGACAGTGAAAAACCTGAGTTTAGTTACCTAAGATGGAACCCATCTGCTGGGTATATAAACCCATTATGAATAAGGTTTTTTTTTTAAGATTTACTTATTTATTTTATGTATATGAGTACACTGTAGCTGTCTTCAGACATACCAGAAGAGGCTATCAGATCCCATTACATACCATGTGGGTGCTGGGAATTGAACTTAGGACCTCTAGAAGAGTACTCAGTGCTCTTAACCACTGAGCCATCTCTCCAGCCCCCATTTTGAACATTTTGAATAGTTTTAAAAGAACAGGACTTTTTAAAGAATATAGTTACTTCACAAATTGAGAGATTTCACTATTGTTTTTTATTCAACCTGAAATCTTCCTTCCTCAGTTCTAGGGTGATGCAATTAAATATGGCTACCCGGCCTGACTCACATTCCTTGAGAGCCTGAAAGTTGAGGAAGAAGTGCCTGATTGCTTTTAATTTTCTGAAGAAACAGAAAAGGAAGTACTACTGCAACAGCTCAATCTCCTGGCCAATCGAAGAGATATTAAAAGATAAAAAGAAACCATTTCCTCTGGCAAAAGGAACTAACACTGAATATAATAGGTGACTATAGATGTTTGTATAACTGACTTAAGATCCAGGTTTATGAATTGGTAAGATAATGCCAGCAACCACTGACATCAACTGAAAAATTAAGGAAGATGGAATATTTAAAATCAAGGGTGAGGGGCTAAAACAAACAAACAAACAAACAAACAAACAAACAAGAATTTAGGAGTATATGTCTTTACCTGTATTTTGTTTGCAAGTCGGATGCTAAGATTCCAATGTCCACATATTTGCCACATCTATTACTACTGAGGTACTAAAAGAGAAAACATGACAATTAACTTAGACATTTCAATCAGTAAATAGGAGGTTGAGTTATTGAGTTCGAGGCCAGCCTGGTCTACAGAGTGAGTTTCAGGACAGCCAGGGCTACACAGAGAAACCCTGTCTCGAAAAACCAAAAAAAGAAAAAAAAAGAGGTTGAGTTATTCCAACACATACTTCAATATAAATTCTTCAGCAATAAAATGTACCACAAAAAAAAAATCTATCATGAGCATAATTTTTTTTTTAAATGCCACATCAGCCAGGCCTGGGTACTGTACACTTTTCATCGTTTGGTCTACAAAAAGGATTTCGGGACAGTCAGGGCCATGCAGGTTATACATTCAATAAACCCTTAAATAAATCATCTCTATCTAACTGAGATCGAGGTTTGTGTAGTTTGTGGGTGACTCCTGGGCCCCAACACAATCAAGCTTTTACGCCTTAACAACTGGATGGAAGGTGGTGTCAATTCCCAGTACCCACATGGCAGCTCACAATTGTCCATAACTCCAGTTCCAGGGGATCTGACACCCTTCACAAAGACATACGTGCAGGCAAAACACCAACGCATATTAAACAATGCTAATAAAATAAAAATACTCTATTTTTTAAAAAAGCAAAATCTGGGGCTAGAGACAGCTATCAGTCACTGAGCAGAGGTAACTAGGAAGCTAGATATAAAAGAATTCAAGAGACCCTGTCTCAAAACAGAAAACAGCTGAGTACATTCTTTGGGTAAAGAATAACTCTAAGCCCAGAACAGCCTGGGCTACACAGAGAAACCCTGACTTGGAAAACAAAATAAAAATGAAACCAACAACAAAACAAAATACAGATTTGGGTCACAACGTATATAGCTCATACTTAAAGGAGTTAGGCTGAATAAGATCCAGTAAAAAGTATGGAGTTAAGAGAGGAGTATGGGGCCGGGCGGTGGTGGCGCACGCCTTTAATCCCAGCACTTGGGAGGCAGAGGCAGGAGGATTTCTGAGTTCGAGCCCAGCCTGGTCTACAGAGTGAGTTCCAGGACAGCCCGGGCTACACAGAGAAACCCTGTCTCGAAAAACCAAAAAAAAAAAAAGAGAGGAGTATGAAGAAAGAAGGTAGACAAGACGCACAGGGGATTGAGAACTTAGAGAACTTTCGAACCCCAAATGACTCAAGGGCGGTAGGTAAAGGAAAAACAAGCTAAGTTTTTGAAACTCCAATTTAAAAAAAAAAAACAAAACTTGCAATTCCATCAGTGAAAAATGGCAAACAAATACAAATGCCTTGTGGGGCATGGTAGGTAGAGTCTTCAACCCAACACTGAAGAAGCAGAGGCAGATAGATAGACGGGTCTCTATGAATTCAAAGCTAGCCTGGTCCACAGACCGAGTTCCAGGCTAGGCTGAGTTACACACCGAACACTACGACGACCGAACAAAATTCAAATCTCTCCCTCCCTTTAATTCGTATTGCTGACTGCGCCACTGAAAGCATCCAGTACACAATGCTATCAAGTTATGAAAAAAACACTGGTAAAGCATCCAAAGCTCCTGGGCCTGTTTTTACCTGTGGTAACCGTAAGCTCTGGAGAACGAGAATTAATGTTTGAAGAATTATGGACACCGAGGGCACTGGAAGAAAACCCCTGTCCGGATTACGAAGAGGTACGAATCCTGCCATCAAAAGGGAGGGCGGGCCGCTGTCGGCCTCCACAGAGGAAACATCTACAGACCATGCGGGAACCCAGCGGCGGCCAGAAGCGCTAGGCCAGGCGGCCACATGAAAATGGAGACGCAGTGTCTTCAGACACACACGAACCTGAATGATCCGTTCCTTCAGTTTCTTGTCTACGAAAACCGAGGGTCTGGGCTTCATGCTGCCGCTGCCAGGGACCGACACCTCACGTTACCGCGAAAGACTGCAGTGGACCTCTTCTCTTCTCCAACGGAAACTCCGCCCACGCGTAGTCATCGGCACCGGAAGTTCCCCCTGCAAACTTTCCTCAGCACGAAAGTTCCTCCAGTAAGGAGGACTGCACTGCTAAGGCGTTAGGGGAAGACCTGGAAGTGCGCGCGAGTTTCTAGTCGGGTTCCTTTTCGGGATTGCCCAGCAGTACCTAAGTGGCTAGTCCCGCTTTGAAGACATTCAACTTTATTGGTTCTTAACTGAGCAAACGAACACGGACAACATTCTTTGCGGCTGCGCACACTCTCAACAAGCGAGTAGTAAACTTGATGCCAAGCCAGGGATCACGGGGAAAATTTATAATTTCAATATTCGGGAAGCCGAGGCGAGGAAGACTGCTGATGAGTTCAAAGGCAGCAGAGCCAAGTAGTAAGATGGTGTCTCAAAACAAAAAAGTTGGGGCTTGTCACATTCCAGGCTCGGAACCGCAAGGTTTTCGCGGTTTTTGTTTGTTGTTTTGAGACGGAGTCTCCGACTGTGGAACTCAGTCTGCAGCCTAAGAAGTTTTACCCCTAGAAGCATCTTTTCAGGAAAAAAACAAGATTCGTGGCTTTGTTGCAGAAAATAATTTCAGGACAAACAAATATGAAGCAGAATTGGAATTTATTAAAAGAGTTTTGGGCACAGTGGTTAATAGAGAGGCGCTCAAGGAAAGAACAAGAGAAAACCCAAGTGTGAGTATAGGTTTCTTGCCCTTTTCAAGGGAGAATTATGCATAGGGGTATTTTGCAACGGATACGTGTAGGAGCCTCTGAGATGTTATTGGTGTTAGTTTTTAAGAAAAATTATTCGAAGAGTAATTTACAAGGTTTAAATAACTGTTCAGAAATTTGGATTTGCCGAGGTGCGGTAGCGCACACCTTGAATCCCAGCGCTCAGAAGGCAGAGGCAGATGGATCTCTGAGTTCGAGGCCAGCCTCGTCTACAGAGTTCTATGCGATTTTTGAGAGAGACGTTTTGAGGATACAGAAAGGGCTGTCAGTTACTATTCTGTGATAAAATGCTTGACCAAGGCAACTGTAGAAGGGTTTATTTGGGGCTCACAGTTCCAGAGGGACAGCTGTCCATTATGGTGATTCGGAGGTAGTAAGCAGTTAGGGAGCTGCCGAGAGCATACGTCCCTAAACAAAAACAGAAAGCCTTGAGCTAACTCAAGCTGATAGGAATCTTTTGAAACCTCAAAGCCTGTCCTCAATGACATACTTCCTCCAGCAAGGCCACACCTGGTCCTCTCCAAATAGCCACTAACTAGAAACAAGTGTTCAAATGCCCACGACTGTGAGGGACATCTGTTCAAACAACGAAAGTAACCATGCCTGGCAGTCCTTAGTTTTCAGTTCTGGATATCAAACACAAAAGCCTCATATATGATAGGCAATCACTCCACCAACTGAGCTATATCTAGTGAACTATATTCCTAGTTTCGACTTTCATTCCTCTTAATGCCAGAATAACACTCCATTGTATATGTATATATTTTTAATCCACTCATATCTTGGTGGGTGTCTGGGTTGGTTCTGTAACTTGTTCTTGTGGAAGTAGTGTTGTGATAAAATATGTGTATTGTAGGTATCTCTGTGTACTGACAATCATTCATTTAAAAAATTATATATATGGGTCAACTAGATCATATGATAGCTCTAGTTTTAGGAATCTTCCTACCGTCTTCCATAGTATCTGTTTATAGTCATACAAATAGTATATAAGGTTCCTTTCTTTCCAAATCCTTGCCAGCATTTGTTGTTAATGATTTATTTTTAATGCTTGCCTTTCTGACTGGAGTGGGATGGGATCTCAGCAGAGTTATTTGCAGTTGTGTGTGTCACACCGCTCTCAATAGCAGGTATATTTTACATTGCCACTGACATATATAAGAATTCCAATTATTCAAGCTGAACACCTTGGCTCATTTTATATTTCTAGCATTCAGGAGTATGGGGCAACAGGATTGCTGCAAGTTTGAGGCTAGCCTATGGCACTTGATGAGTTCCAGGCCATTCTTGGCTACTGTGTGAGACCCTGCCTCAACAACAGCAATGACAATGAATAACTGGTATTTTGTATCTTTTTTTTTTTTTTTTTTTTTTTTGGTTTTTCGAGACAGGGTTTCTCCGTATAGCCCGGGCTATCCTGGAACTCACTCTGTAGACCAGGCTGGCCTCGAACTCAGAAATCCGCCTGCCTCTGCCTCCCGAGTGCTGGGATTAAAGGCGTGCGCCACCACCGCCCGGCTTGGTATTTTGTATCTTTATAAACATGTATTTTCTGCTATTTTGATAGTGGGCATTCTAATAAATGCATCATCTCATTGTAAGTTTGATTTACATTTCCCTAGTGATTAGTAATACTGAAAGTCGTTTCATGTGCTTTTGGCCATTTGTATAATCTTAGGGAAATGTCCATTGAGTTCTTTTTCCATTTTTCTTTCTTTCTTCTTCCTCTTCCTTCTCCTCCCTCATCTCCCTCCCTCTTCTCCTCCCCCTCCTTCCTTTTCTCTGTATAACACTCCTGACTGGCCTGGGACTTGCTTTGTAGACCTGGCTGACTTAGAACACACAGAGATCTGCCTGCCTCTGCCTCCCGAGTGCTGGGATTAAATTAGGAGGGCCCTGAAACCAAAAATCTCAGCAGTCAATTTGTCAGATAAGATTCAGGGGCCAGATGCTGTGCTGAAAGCCTAAGAGAGGCAGAGAAAGAACCCAGCTGGCCTTCCGACTGCACCGGAGGTTCCAGAAGGAAAAAGTTCTTTCTCTTCCTCCATGCTGCCTTAAATACCCTTCAACTCTTAAGTCCTTCCTTTATGTTAACTGAAGAGTTCACTCCTCTTCAGCTGGTTGCTTGCTCTGTCTCTTGACCTAGGCTTAACTCTATTTAGCTCATGGATTAAAGGTGTATACTAAACAGAAAACTGGACCAAAGGGCGAGCCACACCACAATTAGAAACAGTTCACAGTCTCAGAGGGTCACGCTGTGATTAAGTATTCTACAATGGCAAGGCTACCCAGCAGACTTTGTCTTAGGTCATAGTGCAAAGAACACAAGACCTCTCCCCAAGCAACGTGCCTTAAAATGGACTGGAGCTTTCTGTTCTTTAGCATTCTTATCTGTGGAGGCTTTTAAAGGCACACCCAAGCTGCATCTCTTCAGAACACACCTAACTGCATCTAACAAACCAATATCTATTTAGACTTTTATATTTCGCTAACAATTAGGTTTTCTAAGTACAATAATCAAATGTCTGTAACAATACCTGGCCTGGGAGGCAGAGACAGGCGGATTTCTGAGTTCGAGGCCAGCCTGGTCTACAGAGTGAGTTCCAGGACAGCCAGGGCAATACAGAGAAACCCTGTCTTGAAAAACAAAAAACAAAACAACAACAACAAAAAAGCCGGGCGGTGGTGGCGCACGCCTTTAATCCCAGCACTTGGGAGGCAGAGGCGGGCAGATTTCTGAATTTGAGAGTTCGAGGCTGGCCTGGTCTACAGAGTGAGTTCCAGGACAGCCAGGGCTACACAGAGAAACCCTGTCTCGAAAAACCAAACCAAAAAAAACCCAGAAAACAATACCTGGCCTGTTAACTTTTTATGCTGATCATTTCCTTCTCATAAGTTTTGATTCTTTGTAGAGGAAATCTTTATGTACTGTGTGGAAGCATCACCTGTCAGTAAAAAGCCTATGGCCAATGAGCTGAGGCAGGATTAGAAGATGGTTAGAAGATGGGACATCCAGCAAAGGGAGACAGAATTTTGGGAAATAGTTAGGCAAGGGAGATATGCCCCGATGTGAAAGGAGATGGTTGCATGAAACTGAGGAGAGGTAACCAATCATGTAGTGAGACTTAGGATAAAATAAACGGGTAGTTAAGTTATGAGCTAGTCAGAGAATAAGCCGAAGCTTTTAAGCATTTATTCATGAGATATTAAGTCTCAGAGTTATTTTGAGGAGCTTGTGTGCGAGTGGAAAAGCCTGATGTTACAATTCTCCATATTTGACATTGCAACCATGCTTTTGAGTTTTAGGAATAATAAGACAAAATTCATCATAATGGAAAATGGTAATTTAATAATTTAGTTAAGGGCTAGAGAGATGGGTCAGAGGTTAAGATCACCGGCTGCACTTCCAGAGTCCTGAGTTCAAATTCCTAGCAACCACATGGTGGCTCACAACCATCTCCATTGGGATCTGCTGCCCTCTTTTGGCATGCAGGCATAAATACAGGTAGAGCACTCATATACATAAAAAATTAAAACAAAATAATTGTGGTTAATTATGGTGCGAGCTACATTTTCCCAGGATAAAAGAGCATCTAAAGAACATAGGACAGGCCCAGTGTGGTGGTAAAGAGGGCACTGGATCCCTTGGAGATGGAATTTCAGACAGTTGTAAGCTGCCACACAGATGCTGGGAATGGAATCCAGGTCCTCTGCAAGAGCAGCTAGTGTTCTAAACCACTGAGCCATCCCTCCAGCACTCCACCCCCACCCTTTTTTATATTTGCTTTTTTAACACAGCAAGCTTCTACTGTCTTGGGCCTCTCTGGTCCCTTGTAAATCTTCCAACTCTATTGTCTTATTGCTGTGTGAGTTCCTCAGCCTGGTCTCCCCTGGTGTTAGATGTTTCTTTGTACTTTTTGGAGTACTTGGGACTGCTTTTTAATTGCTATGGTTTAATCTATCTCCCCCCACACTTACTATGCAAGGTTGTGGGTACCTTCCCTCTCTGTTCACTTGTGTCTCTAATGCCTAGAACAGTGCCTCACACGCAGTGTTCAGAAAATGCAAGTTAAATAAATGGATTCGTGAGTGAATGACTGCTGTAATTGGCTTCCAAAGGCTTATCACCCACTTAAGTTCTCTTTTGAATATTTAGTTGCTACTTTATTGCCTTATTACCCACCAAAGCACTTGTTTTCTCTGTTCATTTCTGCACTTGAAGTGTACAATAGCTCTTGGTCTATAGTAGGGGTGTAGTAAGAATTATTTGCCTCCCTCTAAAAAAAAGTTTGATTTCAGATTCTGTAAAGATCTTAAAATTCAAAGGTGAAAAAGCTTGCTGTAATCGAGAATCTGCAAGCAACTGGGTACGTGTTGGACAAACAGGTCAGGAACTGAAGAGCAGATCTCAGAGGCTTTGTATTTGAGATGAAAAATTATAGAATGCAAGTGGGTAGAGAACAGAAATTAAAGCAGCTATGTTTGGAGACCTATGCCAGTAATCTCAACACTGAAGAGACCCAAGTTAGAGACCAGCCTGGGCTACAATGAAAGATCTTATCATACACATACAAAGCGCATTCCACCGAAACCAACAATGGTAGGCAAGGAAGGATGGATAGAAAGTAAAAGAAAGACAGAAAATTTCATACACGGTGAGTAACTTCTTACTGTGGATACTCACAGTGAGGGTGAGGCCCGCCTCCTCCTACGTTCTCTGGGCACTAGTGAACTGCATTTCCCATCATGCATCACGTCGGGGACCACACGTCTGGACCACAACTCCCGGCATGCCGCCTGTCCCGGCGGCGCGGCCCGGAGCTGGTTTGACGGGCGGAGCGGCGGCGGAGGATGGAGGCGGTGGTGTTCCTTTTCTCGCTTCTCGACTGTTGCGCGCTCATCTTCCTCTCTGTCTACTTCGTATCCTTGGTTGAAGCGGACCGCGGCCATGGCTCATTCCCAGGGCTACCGCCGGGGCAATGGGCGAAGGGTGGGCCCGGAGGGCGCTGGCAGGTGGGGGCGGGGGTAGGTGGCCGCGCGGGCCCGGGTCGCGAGCGGAGGAGCCACACTCCCTCTGCCTCCTCTCCGCCTGCCCTGGGCCGCCGGGGTCCCTGAGAGAGCGAACTCGTTCCGGGCGTAGCCGGTGGGCAGTAGGCTCTGCCGCCTTCTCTGGTCCCCGGCAGCACCCTTGCCCCTTTGTCCTCGTGGGTATCTACGCTTCTGGGGACTCCCCACACCCAGGAGATGACTCATTCCGAGAACCGGCGATGTGCTTCCTTCACGTGCAGTTCTTTAGAGAGTTTTTGAAAGGAGTTATGGCAGAAGCATCCACAAAGTGTTTCTCGTTGCCTTCGGCAGTGGAAGATCTGTAAACTTAATAACTACATGTGACTTAGTCTCTAAACTTAAAGTATATATACATATATATATATATATTTGTCCATGTTAAAATTAAGTAATTTTCTGTAGTTGTTTCTGTTGCAGGTTTCAAACAGTTTTTTCCAGACCAATAAATGGTGTTTATCAACCTAGCACTGTAATAGTTGTGTGGCTACAGTCTTGTGGGGTGATAGTCTTTGTTATAGCACAGTGTTGTAATGCAGTGGTGTAGTGCTCAGAGCAGTTTTAAGTAATTAAATATGACTCGAAAAGTGCTTGAGGACCTTTGGTTGTTCCCCCTTTTCCTATGAAATCACATCCTCTGGTCGAATTTAACTTTTTGTTTGGCACTATGCAACTTTGGAATGGCTGCACAGAGTGTATTGACCACTTTATGGTAAACTGACAGTTTGTTTTAATAGGAAGGGACAAAATTTGGAACTATGAATCTTGCCCAGTACTGTATCTTACGTGCTTCGATTTTCTTTAGGACTGTAGATATCTATTTAGTAAATATACACAATGAGAATTTGTGTTAAACACCCAGTGGCAGCCAGGGGGCGGTGGCGCACGCCTTTAATCCCAGCACTTGGGAGGCAGAGGCAGGCGGATTTCTGAGTTCGAGGTCAGCCTGGTCTACAGAGTGAGTTCCAGGACAGCCAGAGCTATACAGAGAAACCCTGTCTCCAAAAACAACAACAACAAAAAACCCAAACAAACAAAAAAAGAGATCAGGTTGGGAAGGAGGAATTAGATAAGATAAAAGTGGGGGACTTTTTTATCCTGCAAGCAGTTGTGAGTCACTGCAAACTTTTGACATTTAGTAGTTTTAGGTCAAGGATACGAAATTTCTGTTAGAAGTAAGTTGAAGAGATTCTTTGTTGATCTGGGGGTGAGTCTCAGTGGTAGAGTGCCTCCACAGGATGAGTGAGATGCTGGACCTGGAGTAGGGAAATGCATTCATCTGGTGACTACAGTTAACAATGTATCCCATCTGTAAAAAATGCTAAGACTGAAAGTAGACTGATTTTACCACAAAGTAACCATGTGAAGCGAAGCATCTTGATTGGCTAGGTTTTATTCTACAATGTATATATTATTTTAAATCTGTTATATATGATAAAACATACAATTCTGTTACTTTAAATGCTCAAAATACAGTAGTGTACAAGAAAGATGAGTCTGCAGAGTAGATTGAAAATGAGAAAGACTGGAAGTTAAAGCAGCTGAGAGTCTTCTGAATTTGAATTATAGTGTTAATTGTGTTGGCATTGACTGATTATAAATTTGTAGGGAAAGTGGTGAGTAGGAGATACTTGGTTGAGAATATTTTTCTGTTTTACTAAATGTTACTCTTTTTTTTTTTTGGAGACAGTATTGTATCCCATCATAGCCTTGAAATTCAAATTCCTATGTAGCTGAGGGTGGGCTTGAACTTCTAATCCACTCTATCTCCTCCTGAGTGCTAGAACTGCTTTCTGAAACATAAGTAATGAGAAAGTGTCATTCCCAAGGCTCTGCTAAGGTAATAATTGCCAAGGCTCAATAAGGTAAAGTGCCTGCTTTGCAAGTATGAGGACTTCGTTCTGATCCCCAGCACTAGGGAAGAGGACACAGGGCCCCAGGGGCCTGTTAGCCAGCCAGACTGTAACAGCAAGTCTTAGCCACAGGCAATGGCTCAAAAACTAAGGTGGAAAGAAATAGAAGAAAATCGCCAATATCAACCTCTGGTGCATACCTGTGCACATACATACACCTTACAGACACCAAAATTATGTATATATACTTCCTTATCTCGATTACCAGATCATTACATTGTCTGATTTAGAATGTGATTACATTAACGCTAGATCATGTTGCTCAAAATTAAACAAGGTAAGACATTTCTTTGGTCATTTTTGGTTGATGCCAATTCTTTTCATATTAAATTTTATTTATAGATAATCAAAATTTGCATTCTTTATTTTAGCATTTTTGTATTCATTGTAATGTCTTAGATAGATCTGCTATGTTTTACAGTATTTTAGGTCAGAAAGTTATGCTAAATCTGACTTTAAATTTTGTTTCTTCACTGTGGAAGTTCCTGGCCATCTTGTGTACATGAGGCTGGTTGTTGTTGTATTCTGTGGCCATACTGCCACCTCCCACTCATGGAAAAATGTTCAGTCTGTCTTTTGTTGAGTGAAAGAAGACCTTCCTTGTGTTGTTTGTGGAAAGAAGTGGACTTGATTAATTTGTCTTAGGGCCATTTTATATTTAACATAATAAGAACTTTATACTGGTAGAAGTCCTCTAAGCTGGGGAGTTTAAGATAGATACAGGGAAAACATTTGTCCCTTGTTTTATGAGATGAGCAGATGGAGAAGCTTTCTGGATAAAGTTTGTGTAAAGCTATATTGAAGGCCCTTTTTGCTTGACTTGAAAAACGCTTCCCATGTTACATCACATCTTTAGTCTACTGGAAAAAACAGAAAAGCAAGAGGTTCAAAGAGGAGTTGCTTGTTAGGCATTCCCTTATTGAAAACACCCACTTCCTCATCGCTGCCTGGTTACTGTACCTGGTTTGTGCTAGGTTCTCTTTGTCTCTTCAGAGTAAGCTGATGTTCCAGCCTTTGTGTCATTAGGATCTACTCTTGTAAAAGTGTGGCCTTGTTGCTGAGCCTCAGAGCACAGTGAAGATGTTCCCCTTGAACCTCCTTTCCTCCCCTCCCAAAATTGGTACTTTCCTTGTTATTGTCACATTTCAGACAGGCAGTGACGGTGTATAGCTTCCAAACACTCAGGAAGCAGAGGCAGGCAGATTTCTGAGTTCAAGGCCAGCCTGGTCTACACAGTGAGTTCCAGGATAGCCAGGGCTACGCAGGGAAACCCTGTCTCAAAAACAAATGAGCAAACAAAAAGAATCAGAAAGGGGGAGGGGGTGTCATTTTTTTTTAATTTCTTTAGTCTTCTGTTTGCCTGTTACTAAGTTTTCAGACACATCTGTAAGCCCTTCAATACTATTTTCTTTGTTTTTTGTTTGTTTGTTTGTTTGTTTTGTTTTGTTTTGTTTTTTTCAAGACAGGGTTTCTCTGTAGCCCTGGCTGTCCTGGAACTCACTCTGTAGACCAGGCTAGCCTCGAACTCTCGAACTCAGAAATCTGCCTGCCTCTGCCTCCCAAGTGCTGGGATTAAAGGCGTGCGCCACCACTT